CTTCCTCTCCTCCTCCTCCCCCTTCTTCCTCTCCTCCTCCTCCCCCTCCTCCTCTCCTCCTCCTCCTCTTCTTCTCCTCCTCCTCCTCCTCCTCCTCCTCCTTCTTCTTCTTCTGGAACTGTGGTACAGAGGACTTAGCAAGGTTCTTGACTCATAGTCAATGATGCTTAATAAATGCTAGATTTGTTACCTACACAGTGGGTGGATTTGTTAGCTTGGAAGGTGACAGTCCAATGACCACAACCAAGGAGGATTTAATGAGGGGATTTCATTACTTGCAACAAGTAAGGAGGACACTGGGGATAGTTCCTAAAGCAGTGCTTCTCCAAGCAACACTGAAAACAGTGCTTCTATTGGGCTGGTTAGCTCAGTCATTGTATGTACAGGTGGAGTAAAGGCAGCAAAGACACAATTGTCGATCATGCTTCTACATAAGTTGCATGTATAGAAAATGGTGAATAAGCTCTTCCCTGGGCGGGGATTTTAGCAGGGTAGTAAAGGGAGTTCACCAAAGTTCATCTTCAACTCAGGCATTTCTGGATCCGAACGGTTTTGGTTTTTGTTTTTCTGGGGCTAAGCTTCTTCCTAGAACTTTTTTGAAACAAAGAATGCAAGGTGAAACAGTTATAAGTGGGTACTTTTTCACAGTGCATACTCAAAACCCAGGACCTTGGGTTACAAATTGACTGGAAGTCAAGGTATGGAGGCTCTCAGAGTAGAAATCAAGGAATGAGTTGAGAAGATAAAGGTCCCAGAAGTTGAGAAGATTAAGGAACTCTGAGACCAAGTAATAAAAGGCTCTTCGTGTAGATGCTAAAGACCGAGGAAAGGCAACTGAAAACTCTCTGACACCAAAATTGTCCATGAAGGGTGGGTGGTGGTGCAGTGTGGTGAAACACCCGGAAGGCTAATTATCCAAGCAGAGTCACAGAATGGCCACAGCTCAGGGTGGTCACCATGTTTAGGGTCTAGTCTTCTGTTTTTCCATTTGAGAAACTTCATTTTCTCTCGATTCCCCAAAATGATTAGGTTTTCATGCTGACACACCAAAGGCATAAGAAACTGTTCAATAACCAGAATATCATGTGATTATGCTCAAATTACCTTGACCAGAATTTTCTTGTTCTGATTATAATGGTATGATCATCTAAGAAAGGCAAGGGGCAGACTAGAAAAGGCATTCAGGCGGAGTATGGTGGCTCATGCCTATAATCCCAGCATTTTGGGAGACAGAGGCAGGCAGATCACTTGAGGTCAGGAGTTCAAGACCAGCCTGGGCTACATGGCGAAACCTCATCTCTACTGAAAATAGAGAAAAACTTAGCCAGGCATGGTGGCACATGCCTGTAATCTCAGATACTAATGAAGCTGAGGCACAAGAATCCTTTGAACCCAGTGTGCCAGGATTGTACCATTGTTCTCCAGCCTGGGTGACAGAGTGAGACTCTGTCTCAAAAACACCCAAAATGGACAGACATTCAATATAGTGTCCTCACTGGAGAAAGTCTGTGTGAATAGAAGGAGGGTGGTCAGCCCAGAACAATGAAGGAGGTCATGGAAGGCTGGCAACGCCTGTCAGAGCTTGCTCAGGGGACAGAGTCTGATCTGAGCATACTTGCTCAGGTGAGTCCTGTGGTAAGTGGTCATTAAATGACAGCTGTTATTTTTGTTAAGATGAGTGAGGATGTCTCCAGGGAGTCTTAACTGAGAATCACCTTTTGAGATTAGGTAACTCATGTTCCATTTCTTAGAGTATTGCTTCTGTATTCTTGTTTGAAGGAGTCTGCCTCTGAGGACAGAGTCCTCTTTCTGTGCAATACAGAGTAATGGCTTCTGCAGGCAAACAAGTAGGGTTCAATTTTGCCTGGCTTTTTGTGCAAGCTATGTAATCCTCCATGCCTCAGTTTCCCTTATCTGTAAAACAGGAATAATAATAGTACCTACCTCCAAAAGTAGTTGTAAGAATAAATTGAGATCATGCATATGTCCTGGCACATAATAAACTCTCAATAAATGTTAACTTTTTTTTTTTTTTTTGAGACAGAGCTTTGCTCTTGTCACCCAGGCTGAAGTGCAGTGGCATGGTCTCAGCTCACTGCAACCTCCTTCTCCTGGGTTCAAGAGATTCTCCTTCCTCAGCCTCCTGAGTAGCTGGGATTACAGGTGCCCGCCACCACACCCAGCTAATTTTTGTAATGTTAGTAGAGACAGGGTTTCACCATGTTGGCCAGGCTGGTCTCGAACTTCTGAACTCAGGTGATTCGCCTACCTCTGCCTCCCAAAATGCTGGGATTACAGGCGTGAGTCACCATGCCTGGCCAATAAATGTTAACTTTTAAGGTCATGTTCCTGAGACTGCAAGGCCAGGACCAAACTATGGATTACCAAAGTAAATGATATCTAGTCAATGAGCCTAACTCTTCAGAGTGACATCCTCTGCTTCTCTATAGATCACCTTGACATTTCAAACAAGTCACAAATACTTATAATAGTCTCACTTATTTACATATATCTGAGACATACATATTTACTGAACGTTTCCCACAACCCTACTAGTAGTATCCCCATTTTACAGATGAGGAAACTGAGGCACAGAGAGGATAATTTGTCCAGTCAGTAAAAGATGGCTCTCATTTGTGTTAACCATCTTTTTACTTACTTATTAAACTACCTCTTCTTTCTTATAATCTTATCATTCAAGAATGGGTATTTTGCAGTGAGAAAGGGATCCATAACTCACTTTTTCTGTCATCTGTAACAATGTTTTTAAAATGTACTTTCTGCTTAACAAGCTTTGAATCCATCCACAAACGCATCAAGTAGCTATATAACGTGGTGAACAACTTTGTTATTTGCAATTGATAAAACCAAACACAAGGTTGTTCACCAGCTATTATGTAGCAGGCATCACAGAGTATACCTGTAATAGTGATTTTTCATTACTGAAATTTCAGTACTGGCTCATCTGTTCTCTTGTTTTAAAAATCCAGAAGATGGGAACAAATTTATAAAGACACTTTACAAGGTTATTAACATCTATAAAACCGACTAAGCATGCATTTATTAAGCCCCCAGGTGTTGGGATTGTACTTGGCGAACATCTAAGGCAGTAAAGTTACCTTTTCTGTGGTATTCTACGGTCTACAGGAGCTTTTTTATTTTTATGTTTTGAGATGGAGTTTCACTCTTTTGACCAGGCTGGAGTGCAGCGGTGCGATCTCGGCTCACTGCAGCCTCCATCTCTCGGGTTCAAGCGATTCTCCTGCCTCAGCCTCCCGGGCAGCTGGGATTACAGGCGCCCGCCACCATGCCAGACTAATTTTTTTTTTTTTTTTTAATTTTTAGTAGAGACGGGGGTTTCGCCCTGTTGGCCAGGCTGGTCTCGAACTACGGACCGCAAGTGATCCGCCCGCTTCGGCCTCCCAAAGTGCTGGGATTACGGGACGTGAGCCACCGCGCCCGGCCACAGGAGCTTTTTAGAAGATGCTTTACGCCACACAGTAATGCAACACTGAAAAGACAAGTCGCCTTTTCTCTGCTTTTGCATCTCTTTCCTTAACTTCTAGAAATCTTGAAAGTTTGTCCGCTGTACTTCCACAGTTGTCTACCGAAGATTCTCAGTACATCTACCATCTGAGCCTTGACTGCGTCTTCGAATTTCTCCTGTTGCAAATCGAGGTCCCTGGACTGGGCACAATCTGGGCATGTGCAGAAGCTCAGCCAACTCGGGGCTCCGCCTCCCCTCCTCTAGCAAGGGGAAGCGGGTGAGCGGCAGCGCGCGTGCGCAAGCGTGGTGGTGAGATACGCCTGGAGAGCGCATGGGCAGACAAACCTTACGTCCGTTTGTCCGGACCGGAGGGGCAGTGGGCGCCATCTTCTTCTAGGCTCACTGAGGGCTCTACGTGTTCTGGGGAGGCTGCTGCGACGAGGAGTGCCCTCAGCCTCCGGCCTTGTGTGTCCGACTCGGCAGCAGTGGTGTGTGTTTATTGCCAAGTGCGAAGCAGTTCCCCTCGGGGCGCCGGGGGTGGGGAGGGCTGGGCGACCAAGCCGGAAGAACCGGGAAAGGCGGGACCGGCGGCCGCGCCAGTATCTAGCGTAGCTCCTGCCGTTAGGGCACCCTCTTTTCTTGCTAAAACACCGACTCTCCCTTTCCCGTCAGCTTCCATGTGGTGGTGTATGTGCGCTTCCCAGGGATCTTGAGAGTGAAGATCTCGAAGGATTTCATAGGTATTTTTTTTTCTTTGCTATGTCATCGTAGTTAGTAGTGGCAGAAAAGCGCTGCAGGCCCGGCTCGTTAGGCTTGAGAAGGGCAAGTGTTTTCAGTTAGATTTGGGGGCAGTTCACCCTCTGGCGAGGTAGGGTGGAATGTTTGCCCTTGAGACGGCGTAACGGAAAGGCACAGAGGTTGGGCGGTCCAGGTTAATTTGAAGGCTGATTTTGGCTGAAAGTCTGGCAACAACATCGGATCCCACGTAGCAACTTTGGCCTGGCGCGAAAGAAGGAAGCTCTGACCCCCGGGAGTTGTGGACAAAGGCTTTGGGCTGTAGAATCGATGCCTTCGGATGATTCCCGTTTGAGGATGTTGGGAGAAATCCTGTGCCGTGTGGATTCGTCTTCATTTACAGTTCTTCTTAGGGACTATGGCTCTCACTGGTCATTCCTTTGGTTTTTATTTTAAACATCTACATTATAAAAGGTGGATCATCATAAAGAATAATTGTGGGTTGGTGTAGATTATTTTCTCCAGGGGAAACTCACGTTTAGAGTGCGAATATGCTACATCATGACTTTGGGCTTTACGAATTAGTCGCAAAGAGTTAAAAAAATTCTCTCTCTCACCATATCTGGAAAATGACTTTTTCTTCGCTAGTTAAAAATCAAATGGATCTAATGAGATATTACTTATTCAAATTTTGCCTCCCTCCCGTTTCCCTCTCTGTATCCCGTTAAATCTTGATTAGAAGATACACATTACATATTGTTTAGCTATAATGATGATTAAGTGGGATGAATCGTATAAAAATAGAAGTTATTTAAAATGCGCTTTTAATTTAACTGACTTAAGTGACCTTTTAGGGACCCACTTTCTTCTTTTCATAGAAATTTTAACAGATTATTGTCTTCAAATGAACACAAAGGCACGAAAATACTTTTTGCATTCATAACTAGAAAAATGCAAAATTTTAATTGCAGACTAGGGTAATTTTCGTGTTTTGCTTTTGTGTAATTTAGTGTGTTAAGAGCTGAATTTCTGGAGAATTTGCTTAAGGAAATAGCATGTTGGAACCACAGAAGTGCCCATTTTGAGAGCTGGTCTTTTATAGTTGGTCTCCAAGGTGTGATACTGTGGAGGCATAAATGGTACATTACCCTACTGTCTCAGGGGCAGAGAAGTTTAAGCATTAGTTGTGTTTAACTGTGGCAAATGAGAGTAGGCTTTTTAAATAGTCTGCTTGAATTGGAATTCATGAGATTTGTGCTCATGAAACTACTTAGTTAAAAGATCTTACTAGAGATTTTTTTGAATTTGAGATATAATTATTCCTTGAAATGTCTCTAATTTCTCTTGTAGATGAATTTATGTTCCCAGGGTAAATCCCTTTAAATTTTTTAAAAAAGCTTAGGAGAGACAAGAATATGTATATCTTACGGTGCTTTCTAAAACATCTTAACAGTAAAAGAGTAGCTAAGCCAATTTGCATAGGAGGGAGTCTTGGGACTTTAATATGGATAAGCATTCCAGAAGCCATTTATAGTTTTTGTTGAAGTGTTTGTATGGATATTGGTTTGTTGAAGAAAATAGGCTTTTTTTGGGTTGTTACTGTGCGAATACTTGAATAGCAAACCTCATTAATATTTTTCAGATGTAGAATGTGTGAAGTAATTTGATGTCTTTGCTAGTTTAGCTTCTAGTTAATCTATGGACCCTTTTTAAAGGAAAACAAACAGACCTCAGTGAATGTATCTTCAGACCCCCACTTTGGGGAACAGTGGTACTTAAGTGTAAGTACTGGATTCTTGATTAATGCAACATTTATTTGTACATTAAAAACATGTAAATTACGCCAGGCGCAGTGGATCATACCTGTAAATCCTAGCACTGTGGGAGGCTGAGGCGAGCTAGTTGCTTGAGCCCATGAGTTCCCTACCAGCCTGGCAACATGGTGAAACCCTGGCTCTACAAAAAATACAAAAATTAGCTGGGTGTGGTGGTGCACACCTGTAGTCCCAGCTACTTGGGAGGCTGAGGTGGGAGGATTGCCTGAGCCTGGGTAAGTCTAGGCTGTAGTGAGCCAAGATCGCACCACTGCACTCCAGCCTGGGTAGCAGAGCGAGAGAGACCCTGTCTCCTCCATCAAAAAAAGTGAGTGTAAATTATAATTATTATTTTGGCAAGTCTTCGTGAAATAGTTTGGGTATCCCTGAAAGTATTAAACACAAACTTCTTTAAAAAAAAATACATTGAGATTTTCAGTAAACTGGTAATCCCAGTATTCCAGGTTAATTTTTACTTTTACTTTCTACATCATCATTTGGGTTACGTTAGTAGAGTGCAGAATAGTTGTTTGAAATGGAAATCTGCTATTGGCATTACTAATAAGATAAATAGCATTTTCTGTTTGGCTGAGAAGAATTTTACCAGTTACTATTTTTGCAGTATAAGGAGTGCTATTGAGATTTTTAACTTTAGGGATATTGTATTTGCCTTAATTATACTGGTATTATGAAATTTGGTTCTGTGCTCAGACGTGTGAGCTGTTTATGTAGACCTTTAAATTGTATCCAAACAGTAGCCCATAGATTTGGATTTATTGTTTTAAAAATTGATTTTTGCATTTCAGGCTTTGCTGTTTTATTCATTTATTGTATAATTTTGAATGGTTGCCTTAATTTGATTTGGTCTTATGTTTTGAAAGGAAGGAGAACAGCACCAGAGTTGGATATAAATATGTACTAGGTATTTGAATTTTCATGTGGCAAAATGATTGAAGGGTCTTTTTTTTTTTTTTTAACTTTTGGTATTGAGATTTTACTTGTAGAACAGTTTTTTGAAGTAGATGTAAAACTTGTGTACAGCAAAATGTATAGACCGTAAGGATAGAATTCAGTAAACCTTGATAAATTTATACACCCATGTGACTACTACTGCATTCAAAATATATAATATTTCCGTCACTCCTTTTTTCATGCTACTTCCAATCAAGGAGCAGTTGTTCAATTTTCAGCAAGTTTTAAATTTTTAAATAATTTTTATGTCTATTTGGATATTGTATCTCCTTTTTGCAGAAGGATGATTAATTTCCCCTTGGAACAAAATACCATTTTGTAACACCTGTAATTGTGGTTCCTTACACTGCTTCAGTTTTGATAGGTAATTCTGAAATGGATATCCTAATCTGGCGTTGTTTAAGATAAATTACAGGGTTCGAGGATTAATTATATTTCATTTTCTTTCCACAGTTAAGTTGCTTTTACAGAATTAACAGGTCTCCAAGAAATTGTAAAAAAGGTAAGATATCCAGAGTTTAAGGCTTTTTACAGAGGCTTGACAAAAAACATGTGAAGTAGAATAGTACGTCTAGGTACCCATGGCTTCTGTTCCCCTTTTTTTTTTTTAAAGACAGGGCCTCACTCTGTCACCCAGGCTGGAGTGCAGTGGCACAGTTGCAACCCATTGTGTCCTGAAAATTTCAAATTGGGCTCAGGCAGTCTTCCTGCCTGAGCCTCCTGAGTAGCTGGGACTACAGGTGCATGCCACCCTGCCTGGCTAATTTTTTCTTTTTAGAGACAGGCTCTCGCTCTGTTGCCGAGGCTGGTTTTGAACTCCTGGCCTCAAGCGATCCTCTTGCCTTGGCCTTCCAAAGCCTGGAATTATAGGCGTGAGCCATCACGCTGGCCCTGGCTGCTGTTCTCTGTGTCTGGCCAGTGGTAGGCAATTTATTATCATGAGCAGAAATTACATACTAACCATAGATGACTTTTCTAAATATGTAAAATTCATTGCAGTTGATAAAATAATCTACAAAGCTGTCATGTTTCAGTAGAAGATAAGATTCTAAATGAGTCTGAAAGTAGTTTGGTCTTCTTGTGAAGCAGCATTTGGCAGACTTACAAAGGAAGATTTGATATTTTTGATGTTCCTATTGTATAGAATAGGTGATACGAAATGTTTCTTCAAGGTAGTTGGTTTATTTGTATTTTTAGATGGGAGAAAGTTTTCTTTAATAATTAGATATGATCAGTATTTTTGTGAACTTGTATCTTGTTTTCATTTATAAATGTTGAAGGAAGCAGGAACCAGGTAATTATTAAGCTTAGTTTGGGCTAAGGTACTTCAAAAATAAGACTTGCTATTATGTGTACCTTTTTGTCTGCAGGTCATTATTGCTGTGGTTTGAACTCAGCATGGCTGTAGTCATCCGTTTACTGGGGCTTCCTTTTATTGCGGGGCCTGTGGATATTCGTCACTTCTTCACGGGATTGACTATTCCTGATGGAGGAGTGCATATAATTGGAGGGGAAATTGGGGAGGCTTTTATTATTTTTGCAACAGATGAAGATGCAAGACGTGCCATAAGTCGTTCAGGAGGGTTTATCAAGGATTCATCTGTAGAGCTCTTTCTTAGTAGCAAGGCAGAAATGCAGAAGACTATAGAAATGAAAAGAACTGATCGTGTAGGAAGAGGGCGTCCAGGATCTGGGACTTCAGGGGTTGGCAGCCTGTCTAATTTTATTGAGTCTGTTAAGGAAGAAGCAAGTAATTCTGGATATGGCTCTTCAATTAATCAAGATGCTGGGTTTCATACTAATGGTACAGGACATGGTAATTTAAGGCCAAGAAAGACAAGGCCATTGAAGGCCGAGAATCCTTTCTTGTTTCTACGAGGTTTGCCTTACCTAGTAAATGAAGATGATGTACGTGTCTTTTTCTCTGGTTTGTGCGTGGATGGAGTAATTTTCTTAAAACATCATGATGGCCGAAATAATGGTGATGCCATAGTAAAATTTGCTTCATGTGTTGATGCTTCAGGAGGTCTTAAATGTCATAGAAGTTTTATGGGTTCAAGATTTATAGAAGTAATGCAAGGATCAGAACAACAGTGGATTGAGTTTGGTGGTAATGCAGTTAAGGAGGGTGACGTTCTTAGGAGATCTGAAGAACATTCTCCACCAAGAGGAATTAATGATAGACATTTTCGAAAACGGTCTCATTCAAAATCTCCCAGAAGAACACGTTCTCGTTCCCCTCTTGGATTTTATGTTCACCTAAAAAATCTGTCCCTCAGTATTGATGAAAGAGATTTAAGAAATTTCTTTAGAGGTACTGATCTGACTGATGAACAGATTAGGTTTTTATATAAAGATGAAAACAGAACAAGATATGCCTTTGTGATGTTCAAGACTCTGAAAGACTATAATACTGCTCTCAGTTTACATAAAACTGTTTTACAGTATCGTCCAGTTCATATTGATCCAATTTCTAGAAAACAAATGTTGAAGTTCATTGCACGTTATGAAAAGAAGAGATCAGGGTCACTAGAGAGAGATAGGCCTGGACATGTTTCACAAAAATACTCTCAAGAAGGTAACTCTGGCCAGAAGCTGTGCATCTATATAAGAAATTTTCCATTTGATGTTACAAAAGTTGAAGTGCAGAAGTTCTTTGCAGACTTTCTTCTTGCTGAGGATGACATTTACTTGCTTTATGATGACAAAGGCGTTGGTCTGGGAGAAGCATTAGTGAAATTTAAATCAGAAGAACAGGCCATGAAAGCTGAACGTTTAAACCGACGAAGATTCTTAGGGACAGAGGTATTATTAAGACTTATATCTGAGGCACAAATGCAGGAGTTTGGTGTAAATTTTTCCTTGATGTCCAGTGAAAAAATGCAAGCTCGCTCAGAGTCACGTGAGCGAGGTGACCATTCTCATTTATTTGACTCAAAAGACCCACCAATATACTCAGTTGGTGCCTTTGAAAACTTTAGACATCAGCTAGAGGACTTGAGGCAACTGGATAACTTCAAGCATCCCCAGAGGGATTTCCGGCAGCCTGACAGGCACCCTCCAGAAGACTTCCGACACTCCTCAGAGGACTTTAGGTTCCCCCCCGAGGACTTCAGGCACTCCCCAGAGGACTTCAGGCGACCTCGGGAGGAAGACTTCAGGCGGCCTTCTGAGGAGGACTTCAGGCGTCCTTGGGAGGAAGATTTCAGGCGCCCTCCGGAGGATGACTTCAGGCACCCTAGGGAGGAGGACTGGAGGCGGCCCCTTGAGGAGGATTGGAGGCGGCCGCCGGAGGAGGATTTCAGGCGGTCTCCCACGGAGGACTTCAGGCAGCTTCCCGAGGAGGACTTCAGGCAACCCCCTGAGGAGGACTTCAGGTGGCTCCCAGAGGAAGATTTCAGGCAGCCACCTGAGGAGGACTGGAGACGGCCCCCAGAGGAGGACTTTAGGCGGCCTCTTCAGGGAGAATGGAGGCGACCACCCGAGGATGACTTCAGGCGGCCCCCAGAGGAGGATTTCAGGCATTCCCCTGAGGAGGACTTCAGGCAGTCACCCCAGGAGCATTTCCGGAGGCCACCTCAGGAGCATTTCCGTCGGCCACCCGCAGAGCATTTCCGGAGACCACCTCCAGAGCATTTTAGGCGGCCTCCCCCAGAGCACTTCCGGCGGCCACCCCCAGAGCATTTCAGGCGCCCACCCCCAGAACATTTCAGGCGCCCACCCCCAGAGCACTTCCGGAGACCGCCCCAGGAGCATTTCAGGCGGCCGCCTCAGGAGCATTTCAGGCGCTCCCGAGAGGAAGATTTCAGGCACCCACCAGATGAAGACTTCAGGGGCCCTCCTGATGAAGACTTTAGGCACCCTCCTGATGAGGACTTCAGGAGCCCCCAGGAGGAAGATTTTAGATGCCCTTCTGATGAGGACTTCAGGCAGCTCCCAGAGGAAGACCTTAGGGAAGCTCCGGAGGAGGACCCTAGACTTCCTGACAATTTTAGACCTCCTGGTGAGGATTTTAGGAGCCCGCCTGATGATTTTAGAAGTCACCGCCCTTTTGTGAATTTTGGTCGTCCAGAAGGTGGCAAGTTTGATTTTGGAAAGCATAATATGGGAAGTTTTCCTGAGGGGAGATTTATGCCTGATCCAAAGATAAACTGTGGTTCAGGTAGAGTAACTCCTATTAAGATAATGAATCTTCCATTTAAAGCTAATGTTAATGAAATTTTAGACTTTTTCCATGGTTACAGAATCATACCTGATTCAGTTTCAATACAGTATAATGAGCAAGGCTTACCTACAGGGGAAGCCATTGTTGCTATGATAAACTATAACGAAGCTATGGCTGCTATTAAAGATCTAAACGATAGGCCAGTTGGGCCCCGAAAAGTTAAGTTAACTTTGCTGTAGAGAGAGAGCATTTCTAAATTCAGTTATCTTCCTTGCAGTATTGATGGAGTAAAATACATTTGTTTTAAAAAGTGTGTGTTTTTTTAAATTATCTAATGAAATATTTTATTTTTGACCTGTGAATAGAACAAATGTAAATAGTAGAATGTGAATCTGGTTTTCTTTTGCTTGCAAATTGCCATTAATTTTTTTTTCTAATTTAAAATTACATATGCTGTGTTTTCCTTTGATGGGGAGAAAGAACTAATTCCCTGAGTTCATTCATTTTTGTTGATGTCATGGGTAAGCTTCAAGACTTATTGAAGTAGAGTTGTATTTGGGGAAGATACATTTTATATTCACTCCCCCCCCCCCCCCCCCATTCTGTAGTCTACATCGTTTACTCAAACTGTATAAGGAAATAGTGACTGTTCAGGTTTGGCATTTTCATTGCTACTTGCCTGCAGAATTAATGCCCTCTTCCTTGTCTGAGATATTACTGTGTTAAGTGTCCTGTTAATTACAAATAGTTCAAAATGGACAGACTGTCAACTTGAAATTTACTTATGTAAAAAGGTTAGGTGATTCTTAGGGTTTCCATGTTCGTAACTTTACAAAGTTTTATAACAATAAAATTGCAACTTAATAGAACAACTAATTAACTTGTATTTGTATAAAAAGAAAAAAGAATTGCAGCTTGATACTGTGAAGTTTTTCAGTAAATTCATTAAACCATATTTATGATGGGAGGGACCAGACATTCTATAGTAATAATGTATAGTGCTGTGTATAATTCCATGGTTTCTTCAACATCTTATCAACGAAATACGATTAATACAACATACGCAAAAGACAGTAAAATAAGAATCTAATTATAGGTGCAAGAGGACTCAGGCTTATGCTGGGAAGAATCTGACAAATGGTATAGTTTTCCTAGGAAGAATTTACTGATGAGTCACATAACTTGCATGTAATATTAGGTTCTCATTTTTTAGCTTCAAAACTTTGTGTCCATGCAAAGACTCCATAACTGTTAAGACTGGTGTGGTTGAATTTTGACTTCTTTGATATTCAGCATTTAGTGCATACATTTTGCAAATAGGGAATTTGATTTTCTGTACCCATAATAATATTTATGGCTAACATTTATTAGGCACTTACTATGTGCTAGGCACTGTAAGCACTTTACATGCATAATCTCAGTATTCCCTATGAGTACAGGTTTAATTATTTACCTCTATTTCACAAATGAGATAATGAAGTGGGAGGTTAAGCAACTTGCTTGAAGTCACAGGTAATAAATCATGGGGCCAGTTTTAACCCAGACAGACGACTGACTCCAGTTCATGCTTTTACTGCCTCACTTTTTTAAGTGGTATTTTTAATTAGGAAGACCATGCTAAAGATACTTTCAAAGATAAGTGATATATTTTCTCACTTCGGTTGTTGGTTTAAAATTAGCATAAAAAGGTAAAACCAGCATGCTCAAACATTGAGCTCAAACATTAACATTAATAAAACCCGAGTGACTTTGAGATTCTTTCTATCCAGAGTTTCTCTTGGGATACGCACATTGTATATTACTGGCTTATATTTCACAATTGCTCATTTTATTCAACATGATTGAGTCTGGTTGGCCTTTTATAATTTTCATAAAACATCATTTTCCTCAGTTCTGTAATCCAGATTTTCCCCATTGAGTAAATAAGAATACAATTGAATTTGCATAGGGTAATTTAGACATTTAATAGGATATTGCATAGGTAGAATACTTTGTCAGTACTTAGTTACTACCTATATGTATTTTTGTGTTACTTCTTAGTGATTTAAAGAAATCTAACAAATCTGCTTAAATTTGTTTTAAATAGTGAATATCCTGCTCACTATGGAATGAATAAACAGGTAAATTTGATACAAAAATTTGATTCTAAAGATTCGCAGTATGATTCTTTAAGCTTGTAAGTAGCTAGGATAACATTAAATTGTTTGGAATATCCAAACCAAGCACAATAAATAAAGTAGAAAGAAATATTTTTAATTGAGCAGAGATTGTATAGATGGTTCATTTGGTCACCCATCTTGAATATATGGAAAGTTAAAAAGTACTTCTCAAATACAAAGGAATAAAGCTAAGATGAAGCTTAACGTGAGGAATTACTTACTGTGGAACTGCTTTTCAAACTAGGCTGAGGTGGGATGGTGGTGGTAGTTAAGAGGCCAGCTATAGTAAACATAAGCTTTGTAGTTTTATTATTTTAAGAGCCAGAGTCTTGTTCTGTTGGCCAGGCTGGAGTGCAGTGGTCTGATAATGGTTCACTGCAGCTTCTAACTCCTGGGCTCAAGCTGTCTTCCTGCCTCACCCTCCTGAGAGCTGGGACTACAGGTGTGTGCCATCTTGTCTGGCTAACTTTTTTTTAATTTGTAGAGACAGGGTCTCACTGTGTTGCCCAGGCTGTTCTCAAATTTCTGGCCTCCTGGCCTCAAGTAATCCTCCCTCCTTGGTCTCCCAGAATGTGTTGGGATTACAGGTGTGAGCCACTGTGCCCAGCCTTGTATTTTGATTTTTAAATTATGTGAATATTTCATTTTACTCCATAATATATCAGGGCTTAATATTTTTAAATTTCATTATAAAATGTTTATTACAGAAGTGGTGTCTTCTAGTTGGGAGCCATCTTTGCACATCTCTCTCCAACTCTGCCTTTAGTGATATGTCAATAACAAATTGGCCATGACAGGAGTATTTTACACCATGGAAATTGATAAATGCAGCAAATCAAGGAATTCCCCTTCCATTGTCCCCTCAGAGAGCCAGCTTCCCAGCACCTCATCAATTTCAAATATAAAAAAAGAATAGTAAATTTTCATGTACACATCACTCAGCTTCAGTAATTGTCATCTCATAGCCAGTTTTTCCTCTGCTGTCCTCAAGGTATACCAGGTACACTGGAGGTGTATTCTCTAGTCTGATATCCAGTGGCATTTGTCTTAAACATTTTTGTCTAGAAAGTATCTAAAAAAATGTAGATCATGTCTAGAAAATCAATCCAACAACCAAGAGATAGGTAAAAATCATATTAGGAATGCATTTCTATTAATTTACTGACATCACTGTTAAGAGCAGTGGTTCTTGATCCATATGTCACCTGTTAAGTACTGACCTTGCTGCCTCTGTTTTTGCAGTAAATAATAGCTGTTTTTATTGAGGTGTATTAGATACTATATGATGTATAATTATGTATGAATTAACTATCATTTAATTCTGATAATCCTAGTAAATGTACTACAGGTCGAGTATTCCTGATCTGGAAATTTGAAATTTCAAATGCTCCGAAAATTGCAAGCTTTCTGAGTGCCAACATGATGCTCAAAGAAAATGCTCATTGCAGCATTTAAGATTTCAGATTTTTGGGTTAGGAATGTTGAACTGGTATAATGCAAATACTCCAAAATCTGAAGAAATCCAAAGTCTTAAATACTTCTGGTCCCAAGCACTTCAGATAAAAGATACTCAATTTGTATTCCTATTTTAGAGATAAGAGATGGAGACTTACAGGCTGGGTTGCTTGGATTGATTGCCTGTTTTTTGTTGTTGTTGCAGTGGGAAGCTAGGAAGGTTTTTTTACATTTTTAAGTGTACTTAAGTCTTAAATGGTTACATAAGTACCTGTATAATAGTCTTGAATTTGCCTCAACCCACAAAGAGTAAAAATGTTTACTCTCTGGCCCTTTAAGAAGTTTGCCAACCTAGGTCTGGTCTAAATAATGAAAATTTTACATTAATGAAAGTATTTTCATGGATAGTATTCCTTTTGTTCTTAGAATATTTCTCTGAGGTAGGCAGAATGTATGTTTTATTCTAGAATTATTGGTTTATGCAGTTTTAACTTTACAAATAAGGCAAATAATGCTCAAGAGAAGTTGCTATTTAGTAAACAGCAAAATAAATATAATAACTGTTTTCCCCTGAACTACAACCAAATTTAAATACTGAGTGAGGAAGCAGTAAATATCCAATGATAATCTTGAGTTTCTTAATATCAATTTATTTAGGGTTTTAAAAAAAGTACTGAAATAACTTTGTCACTTAGGACTATTCTCAGGAAAGAGTGCTTTGTTACGAGCCATGAATGACAAAGTCAAAAGCTTTCTAGAAATCTTTATTTTTCTGTTATGAATAATTGCATTTTCTAATTATCCCAAATGATTTTATAAATTCCCTTTTATATGCCTGCCTGGGATCCATGAAATAAAAGTATAATTCCTTACCAAAAGAGAAGCATCAGAGACACTGAAAGGCTCCAATTGTTTTATATTTTCAGAAATAAAAGTGATTGTATACCCTTTTATTAACTGCATGGTAGCTTGGTAAAATTTTTATAGAATTTTTAATGATTTATGGTGTTCTGTGATGAGGCAACATTCCACTAAATTAGCCTTCCAAAAGTTGCAGTATCATGTATAAGTATGACAGCAGTTTTGTTTTAAAACCAGAGTCAGATTGAATGTGGCTTTTTTTACAGCTGAAATTTATGCCTTATGTGTATTCATAACACATTGATATCTTAGTGTCACATTATCTTTATTCTTTGATTATACTCTTGAAAAGTAAATTTACTTATCAAATGATAAAGTTTTAAGGGAAAGTAAAAAAAAATATTTTTTCTTAAGGCTTCATGGAATAGAATTACATGTAATCAGAATGACTACATAGGACCCTTTTCTGGTAATGAAAGCATGGAGTCTAACCAAAAAGCTAAGCAGAATTGTTAGATCTTTTGGTTTCTGTCATAATGTACTATTGGAACTTCAAGTAGATAGTACATTAATATGAAATACTTTGAAATACACCATCTTTGGGAAAAAAAGGTACTTACACAAAAATCACCTAACACTAGGTAGGATGTTGAAATGACTGGTATGTAATATTTTTTAAAGCCTTCATTTTTGGTCAGCATAAGTTTCCTTTAATTATTTTTCTGTTGCCAGTTGGACTTCACTTTGAGGCTTAACATATCAAAGTGAGTATAAAGTTCTATAGTTTAGTCATTGTGGATTCCATGTCATTTATGATGAAAATGGAAACATGTAGTTTACTTAAGAAAATTTTCTTCTTCTGTAACATCTAACTCTTCATCCTCATCATCATCTGCTTGTTGATCCTTTCTTAGTCGACAAGTGGATACCTGTTAAAAGTCAACACACTTTTAAAAATAAAAATACTAACTTAAAAAAATTTTACATGCTTGGTATCTTTTTATGCTATTAAAGGGCACACAACAAATATTTCAAAAAAAAGTCCATGTCATAATTTTTAGTAGTGACAATTCCCTATGAATTTTAGGGTCAGAGGCCAGTTTTTTCATTCATGATATTTTTTGAATAAAAATGTGTAATTAGCCATTTGATTTTAGTTGGATAGCCATCAATACTTCAGAAACACTACTTTAAAAGTATAGACTTAGTATATTATGAATGTTAAAAATAAGTTTTGGGTCACAAAAACAGCATTTGAGAATCATAAAATGGATGGAAAAAATAGAAGGATATTTCAGCTAGGCAGTGGGACAGAAATACTGATGTAAAAGTAGTGTGATTTAAATGGAATGAGTTGAGAATCTGAACTCACCAGTTTTAAGTTGCCTGACTGCTGCCACTTCTTAAATGCTGACTGCTTAAAACTTCTCTGAGAGTGATTATATCTAACCCAGAGGACATTTGGGAATGTCTAGAGACACTGTTGTTTGTCACTATTGGGGCTGTGTGTTTATGTGTGCTGCTGGCATGTTGTGGATAGAGGCTGGGATGCTAATATCTGCCTAATATTGTCACAATATACAGGACAGTATTCCATCCCCTTCTTCCTTCCTGGTGGGCCCAATTATTTGTCCCAAAGTCAGCAGTGTTGAGGTTGAGAAACCTGGGATAATACATTCTAAAGTGCTATACAAGTGTTAGCTAAGGTAACATTAGTTGTAGTCAAAACCTTTTTTTTTTTTTGAGACGGAGTCTCACTCTGTTGCTTAGGCTGGAGTGCAGTGGCCCGATCTCTGCTCACTGCAACCTCCGCCTCCCAGGTTCACGCCCTTCTCCCGCCTCAGCCTCCCGAGTAGCTGGGACTACAGGTGCCTGTCACCATGCCCAGCTAATTTTTTTTTTTTGCATTTTTAATAGAGATGGGGTTTCACCGTGTTAGCCAGGATTGTCTCGATCTCCTGACCTCGTGATCCACCCACCTCGGCCTCCCAAAGTGCTGGGATTGCAGGCGTGAGCCACTGTGCCCGGCAAAACTTTATATGGACTATAAAAGCAAATTTATAGAATTTATGTTCAAAGCACTTAATGCTGGAAGAATAATATAATTGGGTTGGGGGAGAGATACATATAAAACAAAATAAATGCTCAGAGGAGAATCAAATGAAAATAGAAGGTATGAAATTTACCTAAAAGTTGTATTTTGAAAATAGTTTGTTGAGTTTCATATTCTGAAGGCTAGATATGAAAAGGGCATAGCTCTCTAGATGAGGGTTTGGCAAGTTGTGGCCCAGCCAGCCTCCTGCTTTTGTAAATAGAATTTTATTAGAACACAGTCATACTGCTTTATGTGTTACTTACAGTTGTTATTTATAGTTGTTGGGGTAGAAACCATATGGCCCACAAAGCCTAAGATACTTAGTCTCCACATCTTACAGAAAAAGTTTGTCAGCCCCTGCTCTAGATACTGGGAAACTCAGGCTTTCTGGATGTAGACAAAAATGATTTCTGTGTTCAGTAAAAGCCATTTTTTGGTATAATTTTGTATTTAACTTTATAATTTAATTAGATCCACTAAGTCTTGATAGTGAGATTTAAACCTAAGTTTGACTTCAGAATCTGTGCTCTTCATATTATAGAAGATAACACATCTGCATAAGCATTCTTCTGTCTTTTCCACTTCTGCTCTGAAGTGTTACGCTTTAGAGAGTAATATGTAATTACAGTATAAAAGATACTTAAGAAATAACAGAGCTGCAACTTAGTGCAATCTTCTGTCATTAATAGAAGAGGAAATAGGTCCGGGGAAGGTAAATTACCTGAGGTGGTATGACTGAGGGGAAACATTTTTAGAACTCAACAATTCCAAAGGCAGCAGCTCAAATTCCTTTAAGAGTATGGTTTCTTGCTCACCTGTCCTGTTCCAGATACACACTTAGCTGACAGTGATCTCTGAAGAGGTGACTTTGAATTTGCTCGTACAATATCTAAACGAGATGAATAATCTGGTGCATACAGAGAATTTCGGAAAACCTATTATAATGATAAAATAGCATTATAAAGTAGATGCTAAACAAAAGACAGTCAAATTAAGTTCCTTAGTTTTTTTTTTTTTTTTTTTTTAAAACAACTGCCCCCAAATGGACAAAATTCCAATTATTGTAAATGTAAAAGAAAAAACAAAAATAAGCTAGAAAGATGAAAGCTAAAAATTCTATTTGAACTATGCAAGATGATGACAGATATTAAACAGTAATTAGTCATGAAACAACCATTTAAATGCTTTTGCCAGGAGAACCGCAAAAGTTGAGACCTTCCAAGAGCATGCAGGCTAGTCGGGAGGCTGCGACTCATACCTTTGGATCTTTCTGTTCTGCATATTGTCAACTCCTACCAATTTAACTCTGCAGTACTGCTATGAAAATTACGTAAGACTAAATTGGAACCACTATAATGTATGGATTCCAACCTTACTAGGGTCTGGAATGCCATGACTTGTCAGTTCTCTTTCCTTAAGGCACTATTTCCAAATGTTACCACTCTCAAGCCTTTCTAGCTCCATCTTTTCTACCCTATCCCCACTACTTCTCTAATAGACTAATTAGGTAAGATTATCAGATATGAATCTCTTCAACTTTCCTCCTTTCCCTTTTCTCTTTTTAGAAATACCATTCTCATTTATTTCCAATATGCATTTTTTCCTTTAACCAAAACTTCAAACCCAACCAGCAAACAAAAGCTTCTGCTGTCCACAGGTTCCCTCTCCTAGAAAACAAGCTCAAAACCAGTCTCTCTCTCTTTTTTTTTTTTTTTTTTAGTTATCTCAAGGTATAACTTCTTAAACTTTCTAGAATATTCGACTTCATCTCCATTTTTTTTTAAAAAAATTTCTATTTATCAACAAACTACAATTGAGCTTTTCACCTTCCACTAAAATTGCTCTTGCTCACATCACCAAGGTCTTTTTTTCCTCTTCATCCTCACTGAACCCCTTCCTGAAACTTAAATGCTACCAAGCTCTTTCATTGTCCTAGTTTCTCTATTTCTTTACATCTCTTTTTCTACTACTTACACCTAGAATATTTTTAAAGGGTTTCCGTTAGGTCACTTTTTATATATAAAAACAATGCTGCTGTGCACAGTGGCTCATGCCTATAATCCCAGCGCTTTGGGAGGCCAAGGCAGGAGGATCACTTGAGCCTAGGAGTTTGAGACCAGTCTGGGCAACATGGCGAAACTCCATCTCTCCAAACAATTAAAAAAGCAATCAGCCAGGGGTGGTGGTGCATGCCTGTAGTCCCAGCTACTTGGGAGGCTGAGGCAGGAGAATCACTTGAGCCTGGGAGGCAGAGGTTGCAGTGAGCCAAGATCACACCACTGCACTCCATCCTGGGCAACAGAGCGAGACTCTGTCTCAAAGTTTCTCTGCAAGATCTTATCTACACTGTTAATGACTACCCTTCAACTAATCCCCTGACAAGCATACCCTATGATAGCTGTATTCATGCTCCCAATTATCTCCTGCTCTAGACCAGCACTGTCCAGTGGAACTTTCTGAGATGATGGAAATGCTTGCTGTTCTGTACTGTACAAAAACGTAGCCACTGGCCATGTGTGGCTACTAAGTACGTGAAATGTGGTTCATGTGGCTGAGGAGCTGAATTTTTAAATTGAACTTTAAATAGTTATATATGCCTAATGGCTACTGAACAGTGTAGCTCTAGATTAGCTATTACAATAAAAGACATTATCTTTTACGTAGAAGACCAAGCTATAAGCCTGGGCATTCTCTCTAAATTTCTCACCTGACACTTTGGGAGGCTGACGCAGGTGGATCGCTTGAGCCCTAGGAGTTCAAGACCAGCCTGGGCAACATGGCGAAACTCCCTCTCTACAAAAAATACGAAAATTAGCCAGGCATAGTGGGACGTGTCTATAATTCCAGCTACTTGGGAAGCCGAGGTGGGAGGATCACCTAAGCTCAGAGGTCAAGGCTGCAGTGAGCCGTGATTGTGCCATTGCACGCCAGCATGGGCAATAGGATGAGACCCTGTCTCAAAAAAAAAATTTATATAAAACTTACAAATTTTCTCACCTGAGGCACTTCTCTTTTATTGACTCTACATACTATGCCTTTATAGCTTACTTTTTATTTAAGGCCAAAATATGTTATTGCTGTCTTTTTTTAGACAGGGACCCCTCTGTCACTCAGGCTGAAATGCAGTAGTGCAGTCATAGCTCACTGTAGCCTCAAACTCCTGGGCTCAAGTGATTCTCCTGCTTCAGCTTCCTGAGTAGCTGGGGCCACAGGTGTACTCTGGCTAATTTTTTCATTTTTTGTGCAGACAGTGTCTTGCTATGTTGCCCAGGCGGTCTCAAACTCCTGGCCACAAACCACCTGCTTCAGCCTCCTGTAATGCTGAGATTACAAGTGTGAGCCACCATGCTTGGCCTCTTTCTCTATTCTAAAACTTTCTGTGACTCTTGACTGTAAATGCAGAACCTAAGTTATACTATGCCTTTGCAATGCTGGTTCCTTAGCCTAGAATTACAGCAAACTGTCCTTCAAGAATTACTTGTCCTTCAAGAACAATGTAAAATGCCATCTTTCTTCTACATTCCCCTATTGTCTGAGTAGCTCCTACTGTTCATACTCTCAAGTATGGCTTTTAACTGTGTTTTGTAATCGATTACGTATCTGTCTCAAGTTCTCTCTTAAGCAAGGGAGCCCTGTTTTATCTATGCATCTCTCCCCTGGCAAATAGAAGATGTTAATTAAATTCACTTTTGCCAAATGAATGATGTTAACCGTTAAGTTGCAAACATAGTTAACATCATTCATTTGGCAAAAGTGAATTTAATTAACATCTTCTATGGGGGGGAAAAGGAGACCCAAATTAGGGGATGGCTATACATTCCTTTAAATCTCAGAGAACTGCAGGACACGGAAGGAATCAAGGATAAAACATAGGAGGTAAGACTTGTGTTTTAAAGTAATTCAGGGGTGCTAATTAGGTAAACAGGTTACCAAGGACCAAATTCAATTTTGGTGCCAGACATGGACCACTGACATCCTGGTATGATATAAAAATGCAATGACTTGGGCCAGGTGCAGTGGCTCACGCCTGCAGTCCCAGCACTTTGGGAGGCTGAGGCGGGCGGATCATGAGGTCAGGAGATCGAGACTATCTTGGCTAACACGTTGAAACCCTGTCTCTACTAAAAATACAAAAAATTAGCTGGGCGAGGTGGTGGGTGCCTGTAGTCCCAGCTACTTGGGAGGCTGAAGCAGGAGAATGGCGTGCACCCGGGAGGCGGAGGTTGCAGTGAGCCGAGATCATGCCACTGCACTCCAACCTGGGCAACAGAATGAGACTCCATCTCAAAAAAAAAAAAAAAAAAAAGCAATGACTCATTAAACAACTGGTATTTGGAGGAGAAACATTTTTCTTAAAAACATTCCTTTAACTTTTCTAGCAAAGCTGGAATTTAAAGTGGGAAATGGAAAACAGTATGTAACTCTTAGGGTACAAGTCTATACCAGTTAAATATTTATTAAAATTAACATTTTACTCCAATTTATTGGCAATAATGCATTTTCCAACATGGTCCAGTATTTCTTCTAAGAGCAGTTCTCAAGATCTGAATGTGCTCTGAAGTTAATACAGAGGTGACCTGACAATACTTTTTTTTTTTTTTTCCCCGTGAGATGGACTCTCACCCTTTCACCCAGGCTGGAGTGCAAAGGTGCGATCTTGGCTCACTGCAACCTCTGCCTCCCAGGGTCAAGTGATTCTTTGGTCTCAGCCTCCCAAGTAGTTGGGATCACAGGCACGCGCCACCACGCCTGGCTAATTTTTTATATCTTTAGTAGAGACAGAGTTTCACCATGTTGGCCAGGATGGTCTCGAACTCCTGACCTCATGATCCGCCTGCCTCAGCCTCCCAAAGTGCTGGGATTACAGGCCTGAGCCACCGCGCCTGGCCGACAATACTTTCTATGTGAAAAACAATTAAGATGGTTTGTGATACAACTAGAGGAGCCTAACTACAAAACACTGGCTGCAGCTGGAATACATCCCAGCAGTTCTCACAAAGCATGGACTATCTGGAAGAATAGCAAGTTATTTCTCAGTCTTTTTCTGCATGTTTTCTTTGCTTCTTTCCAAGAGACCTTGTATTTACAGGATCCTTCCTCTTGGTAGGTACCTGTTTGATACTGTATCAGTTACATGAATTAATTACTTCCCCTGGTCCCACAATTCTCTCCAGACTGTTCTCTCCACAATTGCTATATGGCATAATAATAAATAGTTTATGCCCGTGGTTCATTGAACATGTGCTAGTGCCCTATACTGTGCTGTTTTGCTTTTGTTTTTTTCCGTGACATGCCATGATTCTCAACTGTTTGTTTTAAATACACTGTTCTTTCTTCACAACAGTCCTGCCTCAGGACCTTTGTATATCTATCTATGCCCTCTCCCTGAAAGTTTTTGCCAGGCACCCTCCCATGCATCTCTCAAGATTCTAAGAGATCACTCTGATTCTCCAGACTATTTGTAACCCTCCATTACACACAGCACACTTTTTTTTCCCCCTTTATAGGACTGGTCATATTATTAAAAAATTGTTAGTTATTTTTTTAAATGTCGAATTCCCTGGCAGATTTAAAGTTACTGCTTTGACAACTTGGACTGTTTCTAACTTAGAATGCTAAATCCTTCACACTTAGAATGGTGCTTGGCGCATATGAGGTGCTCAATAAATAGTTGTTGAACAAACATGACACGAGGTAAGTACTACAGTATCTCCATTTTAGAAAGGAGGAAGCTGAAGAGCGAGTGAGCGAGTAAGTTAACTTGCTCAGTATTCACTAGAAAGTAGGGGAGTTGATATTAAAAAAAAAATCTACCACATATTCCTGAGACCTTTAGTTTTACATAGAGCTCTTTTCCCACAAACTACTTAGATGGCTGATTAAGAGTAGTGGTAAGTTATAAAGGAAGTGGTGTAACAAAAAAATACCTAGGGCCTCTGGGATAAGAAGGAAAACCTTGGGGACTGAAGGGCTTGAAGGAACTTTAAGGTCAGTTAACAAATGGTATGTCAAAGGTATTATACAAAGAAGAATGAAAATACTTATAAAGTGGACTACAGTCTTGAAGAAGAATTGGGGGATCACTTTTGAACCTGCCACTAAATGCAGTGTTACTTCTTGTAGGAAATGATTAATGTTACTCAGCAAGAACCATACTTCTGGAAGTCTAATGTAGAGAGGACTGAAGCATAATGGGCCTTGTAGTCAGACTTCTGGGTCAGACTTTCAGCTCTGCTACTTAGTAGCTATGAGATCTCTGGGAAGTTTCTTAACTTCACTATGCTTCCGTTTTCTCATCCACAGAAATCAGAAATAAGTACTTTCATCAAAGTTGTTGAGAGGATTAAAATAATATAGTTAAAATGCAAAGATCAATAGCTGACTCAATGTAATATGTAAACATTTGCTATTTTATTATTTTATAAATGACAGATGAAAGCTTGATAGTCAATTTTTTTTTTTTTTTTTTTTGGGATGGAGTTTCTGTTGCCAGGCTGGAGTGCAATGGCGTGATCTTGGCTCACTGCAACCTCCGACTCCTGGATTCAAGCGATTCTCTTGCCTCAGCCTCCCAAGTAGCTGGGATTACAGGCGCGTGCCACCAAGCCGGGCTAATTTTTGAGACGGGGTTTCACCACGTTGACCAGGATGGTATCAATATCCTGACCACGTGATCCGCCTGCCTCGGCCTCCCAAAGTATTGGGATTACAGGCATGAGCCACTGTGCCCGCCCTTTTTATTTTTGGAGATGGAGTCTCACTCTGTCACCCAGGCTGGAGTGCAGTGGCACAATATAAACTAACTGCAACCTCCACCTCCCGGGTTCAAGTGATTCTCTTGCCTCAGCCTCCCAAGTAGCTCGGATTATAGGTGCCCACCACCATGCCCAGCTAATTTTTGTATTTTTAGTAGAGACGGGGTTTCACCATGGTGGCCAGACTGGTCTTGAACTCCTGACTTCAAGTGATCCACCCGCCTTGGGCTCCCCAAGTGCTGGGATTGCAGGCGTGAGCCACTGCGCCTGGCCTTCATAATCAAGTTTTAAAAGCAGGACATGAAAAGGAGTGAAAGTTAAGACACCTTAGCTTTAGTGTTTGGAAGTAACACTTGGGAAGTCATTACTGACAAATAGAGAAATATAAATATGTATATATAACTGATATAAAACAAATTAGATTTTGACATTAGAAACATATATACACATACTGTAATATGTACTTTCTTCATTTTATTTAACCTATATTCTGGTTTTAAGTTTCCTGAAGCCCATGGAGTAATGGGACGGGAAGGCTCAGAGGATCTCTTTATTGATAGTTAAGATACAAAAAAAAATTAGGCCAGGCGCAGTGACTCACACCTGTGATCCCAGCACTTTGGGAGGCCAAGGCGGGCAGATTACGAGGTCAGGAGTTCGAAAGCAGCCTGGCCAATATGGTGAAACCCCATCTCTACTAAAAATAGAAAAATCACCGGGCGTGGTGGCAGGCACCTGTAATCCCGGCTACTAGGGAGGCTGAGGCAGGAGAATCACTTGAACCTGGGAGGTGGAGGTTGCAGTGAACCGAGATCGCACCACTGCACTCCAGACTAGGTGACAGAGCAAGACTCCGTCTTGGAGGCAGGGGGAAGATACAAAAAAAAATTGGGGGGAATCTTCAAATTTGTTAAGTGGTAAGCACTTCCATATTTTATTAATACAGAATTCTTGTTATATGTTGGGATTACATGGCTTTTTTCACTTCTGTATTAGAGATGAGATGAGGAAAGTATGTCTTGAACAGTTTACTTCAGCATAAATACTTTTGTACCTTTATTTTTTCCTTTTGGAAGGTAAGAGGGTTGGATATTTACAGAATTGCTCATTGAGGACCAGGCTTTGATATTTACTTGCTCTAATGTTAGTTGGCCAATCAGAATTATCTGCATTCAACTAAAACCATCAGCATAAAGCAAGCTTACATAACCTACATTTATTTCATAGCTTAGTGATTACATTACATAGTCAGAATCCTGATTCTGCTATTTACTAGCTAAGTGGCCACAAATAAGTTATTTAAATCCTCTCGGCCTGTTTCTGTAGTTGTAAAATGAGAGTTACAGCAGCACCTACCACCTAAGATTTTGAGGTTTGAATGGGAAAATGCATGTAAAGCTTTGGGTATTGTGCATGATGTAAACACTCAAATGTTACTGAAGTCACTAAATGTTAGTTATTTTTTAGCACACTTCAGTGGGCTTATATCACCAGTCAAAATGACACACAGTATTTTATTTAATGGCTTTATGTAAATTGTATTTTACTAGCTATTAATAAATTAACTCCTGGAACTTTTGCCATGGTTAATTTGAAAAGTTGAAAATAAATGGAAAATCATAAAAATTCATCTGTTTTGGATTATACATAATAACCACTGTAGTGTTCAAATTTAAGATATTAATCATGGCTGGGCGTGGTGGTTCATGCCTGTAATCCCAGCACTTTGGGAGGCCGAGGTGGGCGCATCACTTGAGATCAGGAGTTCAAGACCAGCCTGGCCAACATGGTGAAACCCCGTCTCTACTAAAAATACAAAAATTAGCTGGGCATGGTGGTGGGCACCTGTAACCCAAGCTAGTTGGGAGGCTGAGGCAGGAGAATTGCTTAAACCCACAAGGCGGAAGTTGCAGTGAGCTGAGATCACACTACTGCACTCCTACCTGGGCAACAGAGTGAGACTCTGTCTCAAAAAAAAAAAAAAGATACTAATCACATACAAACTAATGTTCTCTTTTAAATATTTCCACATTAACAGAAGAACTGAGCTTAGATAGACATAGTCCTACCTCTAAATCTTCATCTTCATCAATGTTTTGTATATTCTGGTAGGCAGCAGTGTAGACCTCTAAAGCTTTGCCGTGAAATAACATTTCGATTGTGATAAATTCAGAAAATATAGTCTAAAAAAAACCAAAGAATTGAATTTAAACAATGATTTAAATTTCTTTATGAATATAGTAACTTTATTCCTCACTATAGTCTTGGTACTTTATAAAATATAGAAGTTCTTGGTACTTTATAAAATATAGAAGTATCTGTTTTTCTACAGGGCAAATAAAGTACAAAAGATAACTGAAAGAGAAACAGTTGTGAAGACCTTTTGCTGCCAAACCTTCAAATTATACGAAGTATTTCCTTTATCACCATTCACTTCCATCTTATTTTTTATTTTAGTTAGTTCTCTTTATACTTAGTAACTGACATTTATAATAACAGAAGATCTGACTAAAATGTATGCTACTGTATACTTTTAATACCATATGCTTATTAAGTGTTAGAGCAGTTCAGTTATAAAGCTGGTGTTCTAGCAATTCCAACTGATGTTTAAACAGTAGAACATTTTTTCAACAGGAATTATGTTCCACACTATATGCTACTTGTATTCTCTAAACATAAAGGAGTTACTTGGTAGTAATGACACTCCTGCCACTGATGATAATACCATATATTTGCATAGAGCGTTCCAGTTTACAGATATTGACTTGCCCAGTGTTGCTCACAGATAAGACTCTTTAGACACAGATCTGATTCTAAGGCTATAAGGTTTTTCTGCTCATTTAAGGTTTTTCTGCTATTGCCCACTGAACTGTGCTGTTCTTGCCGGAATCAATAATTTCCTTCACAGATAAACTGTGCAGGTAACCTCTATATAAGCATGATGGAAACTTATGACAAGGAAGATCATGAACAAAAAGTATGAGTGAAGATGTGCATGTTCATCTAAGCAGGGGGTGAGGTAATCAGTAGATAGGGAAAAGATGGAAACCAGGCAAGTTTTTAATAAACATGATTGTATCATCTTGTTAATTGTAACAAAATAAGCAATGTAGAGAGAACTGGGCTGAATAAGAACAAGGCAGAAAATACTCAAGCATGGATTATATTAGAAGGCTAGTCAAATACACATTTCCCTTCATCCCTGCTCTCCTAAGATAACCCAGAAAAGAGTGGTCATATACTTTGGAGGACAGCCATATAGATAATTATCAGTGGCCTGTGCTTCTTCCCTCCAGCCCCATTCTTTCCTAGATGATTAGAAAAACACTTAAGGGAGCATTAAGAGGCTTTGATTGCTACTCAGTGATATATGTCATTCTAACTGAGAGGACAGGGTCTAGGTTAAAAGAGACTTGTAACTATGATTCACAATCACTCTTATTGTCATTTCATGTAAGTTAGAGAGGGCTCAGGTATACCAGGCTGGCAACTGACTGATAAACGGCCTTATGCTAAAATACAATTTTGGATTTCATATTAAAGTATCTCTAGATACCCAGGAATACTTTAGAGGAGGAATGGCTTCTGACCAGGGCTGGGATCTACTCTTAGTTGTTAGTGTCCTTATGATAGTTGCAAACCAGAAAGGAGTCAGGTTTTCTTGAGTGTGGAAACTCCTAGAGGGAAAACTGAACTAAGAGTTGATGACAAGCCAAAACACCCATTTTTAATGCTCAAGAAATAAACTAGTCAGGCACAATGGCATGTGCCTATAATCCCAGCTACTTGGCAGGCTGAGGCAGGAGGTTCCCTTGGGTCCAGGTGCCCCAGACCAGCTTGGCAACATTTGGAGACTTCTGTCTCAACAAGAACAACAAAGTCAACTAGCTAAATTGGACATAGTGACTAACAGTAAAGCCTCTATCTTGTTTGATTAACAAAAGAGATCTTTAACGAAAAGGTTTTAAGAACATTTTGGCAAAGAGGAAATGACAGCTCTCCAGAGTATAGGATATAAAGGATGTCAGGAGAACTGTCTACCCATTTGAAAATTAAAGTTATATATCCATGTCATAACACTGCAAAACACAGCTGCCAGCTCAATATTTAATGTTTAAAATATGTTAAAAATCAAGAAAGTATAAGCAATACTTATATAACCTAGGGGATGAAAACCTTTCTAAGCATGACACCAAGGAAGAAACCAAAAAGAAGACAGACAGATCTGGCAATAAAAAGAAAAGAGGTGACAAAAACACTGTAAGCAGTAAAATGAGAAAAGACATTTGCAACATACTTTCTCTTTCATTTGAAGGGGTAATTGTCTCAATATAAATAATTTTTAGAAATTAGTAAGAAATTCCAACATCCAACAGAAATATAGGTTAAAGAAAAATATAATTTACTAAAGAAATGTATTGCTAAATATATTTAAAAAGCTCAGCAGTAATAATGCAAATGATACTGATTTTTTACCTATCGTCCTATTAAAAATACTGCAACTTATGGTGTCAACATTGTCATATAAAACAAACAAAAAACACATCAGGTGCAGTGGCTCATGCCTGTAATCCCAGCACTTTGGGAGGCCGAGGCAGGTGGATCACCTGAGGTCAGCAGTTCTAGACTACCCTGGCCAACATGGTGAAACCCCATCTACTAAAAATACAAAAATTAGCTGGGCATGGTGGTACCCGCCTGTAATCCCAGCTACTCAGGAGGCTGAGGCAGGAGAATCACTTGAATCCAGGAGGCAGAGGTTGCAGTAAGCCAAGATCATGCCACCATACTACAGCCTGTGTGACAGAGCGAGACTCTGTCTCAAAACAACAACAAAAAACCCAAACAAACTCATCATTGTACCTGTGCTTATGCAAGGTTTAGTAGGAATGTAAACTGGTTTAACCTTTGTGGACAGAAGTTTTAAAAATATATATTAACATTAAAAGTGTATGCTCTGAAGGAGGAGCTCCACATCTGGTAATTTATCTCAAGAGAATAACTGGGCTAGCAGTTAAGGCTGCTGTTTAACGACGTGTAATGATGCAGTGACAACTACAATTGCAAAAATAACCTAGACATTCACCAATGAGGACTGGTTAAATGAACCAGTATAACCATACTGCAGAATATCATAAAGATAACAAAAAATGATATGGATCTGTTTCTTGGCATAAATATATCCATAAGTTTTAAGAAGAGATGCTATATATACGGTGGTCCCATTAATGTATAACTGTCAGGGCTAAAAATAGTACCTTCCTCATAATGATGTTTTGAGGAATTAATGAGTTTATTCATGCAAAATGCTTAGAATGGTACCTGGCACACAGTCAATGTTTAAGAAATGTTTGTTATTGTTATTACCATGTCTCTGTATATATGCATAGGAAAAATCTGGAAGGGTAAAATAAAAAATGGTGAATATTTTTGGGTGGTAAGACTAAATTTTTCTCTATAATTTTATGGATAAGTTTTACGATTTATATTTATAATAAAAATAAAGCTATAAAAATTAATTATGATGTTTCCTGCTTATGTCAGCTACTTCACTACATACTGAGTTCCTATCCCCGTTTGTTACAGGAGTAACTCCTGGTTAAGTACCTTTTTTGTAATTGTGAAATTCCCTTGACATTCATCATGTACGGATGACTTTTCCTAATACATGGAAACAAATGGGATTGTGATTTTTCTCTCATTTTGTACACTAAGTTTTGTAACAGCCTATTTCAGAGAGAGACTCTGCAAAGTTCCTATGAAAAGTCTGTCAAAAATGTATTACTTTGCTGTTTAATTCCAATACCAAAATTCAAATGGACTTATCAATTAAACTCACCTCAAACACAGTAATGCACACACAGTTATGAGTAGTGCTCACTACTGCCAATCATTTCTGCTTCCAGAGTGGTTAAAGGAGCCACAAACTCTGCCCTTATCAGAAGCAGTAGCCTGGTAACAGGTAAGAATAGGAATGTTCTGTCTGTTTCTCCCCAAATTAAGAGTGGTACCAATAATCTGACTTTTCCAAGTACTCTTCTCACAGAAATGTTTATGAGACATGCTAAGATCAACATGGCAATATGTGAATATTGTTATTAGAAATAAGGGGGCCAGCCAGGCATGGTAGCTCACGCCTGTAATCCCAGCACCTGGGGAGGTCAAGGTGGGAGGATTGCTTGAGCCCAGGAGTTCGAGACCAGCCTGGGCAACATAGGGAGACACCAGCTCTTTAAAAAAAAAAGGAGCTGTAATGTAACCCTTTTGACTGATCTTTCAGGCAACCTTGTGAGATTTCTACATCCCTCTTTATCATAAAAGATCCCAAATGTGGCCTTACTTGGAAAGGAAGCAATTTGACAGTAATGAGGAATGATGTGCAGAATGGAGATTGAGAATCCTAACAGACTCTGGTATTGATAATCTGGTGCTCATGTTCCTGGGAGTTTGCTAGGGTTATGGGAGGTTGCATTTAAATTGTAGGTTGTTGCAGAAAACAAAATTTGTATGTGGAAAATCCAATTTATCTCAATTTATTAAATTTATCTCAATTTAACGAATCTACTAAAAAACTATTAGAACTAATAATCAAGTTTGGCAAGGTTGTAAGACATAAGTCTATGCAAAAATGAACTGTCTTTCTATACATTTATGACAAGCAATCTGAAAATGAAATTAGGAAAACAAACCCATTTACGATAGCAACAGGAAGTATAAAATAGGAAGAAGTTTAACAAAAGATATGCACAATTTATATTCTGAAGACTACAAATAGTGCTTAAAGATAAAGAATATTAAAATAAATGGAAAAACATCCCATGTTCATGGACAGGAAGAATTACTCTTAAGATGTCAATACTCCTCAAATTAATCTACATATTTGATATAATACTTATAAGAACCCGAACTGACTTCTTTGTAGAAATTGACAAACTGATTCTAAGATTCATACAGGATTGCAATAGATCCAGAATAGCCATATCAATTTTAAAAAATCTGAAGAAAGTACGAAGACTCACATTCCCTGATTTAAAGACATACCATAAAGCAATGTTAGGACAGTGTGGTACTGGCATAAGGATAGACACATAGATTAATGAAAAGGAACGGGAGCCCAGAAGTAAAACCACGTCAACTGATTTTCAACAAAGATGCCATGACCATTCAATTGAGGAAAGAATAGTCTCTTCAACAAATGGTGCTGCAACAACTAGACAGTCACATGCAAAATAATGATATTTAACCTTTACAAAATTTAACCATATATAAAAATTAATTCAAATGGATCAAAGATATGTAAGAGCTGAAACTATAAAACTGTTAGAGAACATAGGAATAAATATTCATGACCTTGGATTTGGCAATGGATTCTTAGTTATAACATCAAAGCACAAGTAAGAAGAGAGAGAAATTGGATTTCATCAAAATTAAAAACTTGTGCTTCAAAGACACTATCAAGAAAGTGACAAGGCAACCCACAGAATGGGAAAAACTGCAGATTATCTGATAAGGGACTTCTATCTAGAATATATAAAAATCTCTCACAACTCAGAAATAAGACAATCCAGTTAAAATAAGGGTAAAGGAGTCGGGCATGGTGGCTCACGCCTGTAATCGCAGAGCTTTGGGAGGTGGAGGTGCACAGATCACCTGAGATCAGGAGTTCACGACCAGCCTGGCCAACATGGCAAAACCCCATCTCTACTAAAAATACAAAAATTAGCCAGGCACAGTGGTGGTGCATGCCTGTAATCCCAGCTACTTGGGAGGCTGAGGCAGGAGAATCACTTGAATCTGGGAGGTGGCGGTTGCAGTGACCTGAGATCACGCCACTGCACTCCAGCCTGGGCAACAGAGTGAGAATCCGTCTCAAAAAAAAAAAAAAAAAAAAAAAAAAAGGAGAAAAAAAGGGTAAAGGATCTCAATAGCCATTTGTTCAAGGCAGATATACACAGATGGCCAAAAGCATCATCAGGCAAGGCACACTGACTCACGCCTGTAAATGCCAGCACTTTGGGAGGCTGAAGTGGGAGGATCACTTGAGACCAGGAGTTCAAAACCAGCCTGGGCAACATAGTGAGACCTTGTCTCTATTTTAAAAAAAGAAAAAAAAAGCATCATCATGGAATGCAAGTCAAAACTATAATGAGACAACTATTACAATGAAACTACTACTTCAAACCCACTAGGAGGGCTGATGAATAGCAAGTACTGAGGATGCAGAGAAGTTGTAACCCTCATATACTGCTGGTGGGCAAACACAATGGTGCCTTCACTTTAGAAAATAGCCTGACACTTCCTCAAATGCTTAAGCATCAAGTTACCAGTAATTCAGCCATTCCACTCCTGCGTATATATCCAAAAGAAATGAAAATGTATGTTTACATAAAGACTTGTACATAAATGTTTATATTAGTATTCACAATAGCCAAAAGGTGGAAACAACTGAAATGTCCTTGAAATGAGTAAACAAAATGTGGTATATCCATACAATGGAATATCAGTTGGTCAAAAAAAGGAATGAAGTACTGATACATCCTACAACATGGATATGCCTTGAAAGCAGGCTAAGTGAAAGAAGCCAGTCGCAGAAGTCAATGTATTTGATGATTCCATTCTATGAAATGTGCAGAATAGCTCGATCCATAGAGATGAAGATTAGTGGTGGTTGCTCAGGGTTGGGAAGCAGACGGGGGCAAAAGCTAAACTGTACAAGGTTGAAGTGATGACAATGTTCTAACATGGATGGAGAGACATACATACATACATACTAAATATATATATATATCTGTGTATACACTCAAAACCAGAGTTGCACAGTGAATTATAGCTCAGTGTTTTTAAAGTGTAGGTTTCTTCCTGTCTTTTTAAAATTTTCTTCTGTGACCAAGAGACTTCCTGAAATCAAGAGACTTCCCTCTTTTGGGGGCATAATATAGAAAAGCTTAGAAGCTCTTTTCTTCTCTGTGCACCCTCCACCGTACAGCACCTTACTACCATCTCCTGTTGCTTCAGGAAATCCCAGGTAGCAGGAATTGTAGCTGGGAATGCTGCACTTTCTCTGTGGGGTTTGGTACTCTGTAATGCTCAGGGAATTAAAACCAGCATCCAGGCAGAACACAGAAGTGAGCCCAAAGATCAGAGTAGAGACAAATTTCCATGTGTAAATGAAAAATTTGCAGGTCTGAGGAACAGTGATGGAGCAAGGAATCAGTTTCCCATCACTAAAGAAGCCTTTACCCAACAGTGGAATCAGGCATAGCTCACAAGTCTCCATTCCCATTTTTCAGGTTAAGGTTAATTAATTATCTTAATAATTCTCCTTCCTCCCTCAGTTTAAGAGGGGATGTCAGCAATTATAAAACTTTATACCCTGACCATACTCTCCTAGCCTGGTAAAGGAATTTGTCTCGGGACAGCCCCCTGAGATGTTCTTCTGTGGGTAGCAATCTACTATTACACAGAAGAGTACAGAGCCTGTGACTAAATTGAGAAGCTCAGAAATCCTTTGAAACTATGACAGGAAATTAAAGAAAATAAAAGATGTAAATGAATACTGTTTCATGGATTTCAGAGATAAATAATATAATTAAGTGGCAGATAATGCTTATTTTATTGAAAGAATATAGCTTATGAAGGAAGATTTGTCAATAGTAGTAAAACAAATATTTAAAGCTTGTTTCAGGCCGGGCACGGTGGCTCAAGCCTGTAATCCCAGCACTTTGGGAGGCCGAGACGGGCGGATCACGAGGTCAGGAGATGAGACCATCCTGGCTAACCTGGTGAAACCCCGTCTCTACTAAAAAATACAAAAAACTAGCCGGGCGAGGTGGCGGGCGCCTGTAGTCCCAGCTACTCAGGAGGCTGAGGCAGGAGAGTAGCGTAAACCTGGGAGGCGGAGCTTGCAGTGAGCTGAGATTCAGCCACTGCACTCCAGTCTGGGCGACAGAGCGAGACTCTGTCTCAAAAAAAAAAAAAAAAAAAAAAAAAGCTTGTTACAGGAAAATCTTCAGTGAGCCAAAAAGAGCCTTAGATGAGTTTTAAAGTCTGTAAGATGGTCATAAGAGGTCCTTCAAGTGTTTCCACGATGGTTATCAAAAAGACCTGCTGAATTTCATGATCCCCAAGAAAGTTTCAAATCTACAAATGTGTTAGAATAAGGCAATTCTTGTGATTTTGTTGACTAAGATACCATATCATAGTAGATGCAAATTTATGTGGTTGGCTACTATTACCCTGTTTACTTATTTGATAATATGTAGTTACTACAAAGTATTAAGCTATAAAAATTAATGACTGTATTATAACAGAAATCACACATTAAAAAATTGGTTTATAGCTCCTATTTCTGGCTATTGTACTTTGGGTAAAATATTTATGTCTCTGCTTAATTTCTTTTTTTTTTTGAGTCAGAGTCTCACTCTGTCACCCAGGCTGGAATGCAGTGGCATGCTCTTCTTAGCTCACTGCAACCTCCACCTCCTGGGTTCAAGCGATTCTCCTGCCTCAGCCTCCTGGGTAGCTGGGATTACAGGTGCATGCCATCATGCCTAATTTTTTTATTTTTAGTAGAGATGGAGTTTCGCCATGTTGGCCAGGCTGGTCTCAAACTCCTGACCTGAAGTGATCTGCCCGCCTTAGCTTCCCAAAGTGCTGGGATTACAGGTGTGAGCCACTGTGCCTGGCTGCTTAATTTTTTAATACCACCACCTCATCCTCATGGAGTTGCTGTGAAGACTGCAAGAATTTATGTAAAGTGCCTGTTGTAGCGCCTGGTATATAAAAACACAATAAATGTTAGTTCCCCTTGATTAAATAGTATTTGTTATAAAAAGCTGAATATCTGGCTACTGTTTGGAAATGTTGGTCTTTTATATACCACTGTTTCCATTTTTTTAAAAAAAACCCATGATATATTTTATTTATAATATTTTTTGCTTTTTCTGTTTTCTTTTTGTTGTTGTTGGGGGGTGGGGTGGGCAGGGTCTGGCTCTGTTGCCCAGGCTGGAACACAGGGAGTGCAGTGGCGCAGTCATGGTTCACTGCTGCTTTAACCTCCCCAGGCCCAGGTGATCCTCCTGCCTCAGCCCCCTAAGAAGCTGGGTCTACAAGCATGTGCCACCACACCTGGCTAGTTTTTTGTAGAGATGCGGTTTTTCCATGTTGCCCAGGCTCGTCCCAAACTCCTGGCCTCCATTGATCCACCCGCCTATGCCTCCCAAAGTGCTAGAATTACAGGCATGAGCCACTGTGCCTGGCCCCTTATTTATCATATTTTCTTTATAAGGGGTATTTATGGGCTAAAAAATTTAGAGTAATTTAAATTTTTCATGAGTTTAAAGTAAAAAATAAAGTTAAAAACACATTTTGAACCCTAACAGTTACTTTATTACCTTTATATCCTTCATTTTCTGCCTTTCAAAGTTGTTAATAGTTTCCTCCAGATGACGACTTGTTCGGCTAGCATCCATTGCAGCTCTCTGTAATTCCGTTTCTGCCTACAAAAGTATTCCCCAACCAAAGATATAAAAAAATCAAATGAGAATTCATTCAGTTGAGCTTACTGGTAAATTCTACCATTGTGCAGTACTGGCTTTTTGGCATAACAGTGTAAATTGTTAATATTATATTTTACCATATATAATAAAATGATCTATGTAAGCACATGCAGAATAAAAAACTTTATTTAGTGACATGATTCACGATCTAGAAAAAAAAACCCCAAGGACAAAAACTACCCCCAAATCCTTCCCTTTCTGTCTACAAAATCATTTTTTTCCCCAGACATCCTTGGATAACCTACTGTAAAACCATGTCCCATATTTTCTACTGCTTCCCTCTATTTCACTACCTGTGCCATTTATCAAAAATTATTTTTCTTTTGTCTCTCTCTCCCCGTTAGCCATTTCTCTCCTGAAAAGGACATATGACTTAGTAAAGATTATTTCAATTCTCTCAATTACAGATTATCTCTTATTTTTTTTTTGAGATAGAGTTTTGCTCTTGTTGCCCAGGCTACAGTGCAGTGGCGCAATCTCGGCTCACTGCAACCTCCGCCTCCTGGATTCAAGCAATTCTTCTTACTCAGCCTCCTGAGTAGCTAGGATTATAGGCGCATGCCACCATGCCCAGCTAATTTTGTGTATTTTTAGAAGAGATGGGGTTTCATCACGTTGGCAAGGCTGGTCTTGAACTCCTGACCTCAGGTGATCCACCTGCCTCAGCCTCCCAAAGTGCAGGGATTACAAGTGTAAGCCACCGTGCCCGGCCTATTATCTCTTACTCTTTATGCTTATCTCATAGGACTATTGTATGGATTACATGAAATCATCTTTGGAAAGGACTAAGGAGAGTGGCACACAGTAGAGAGACCTACAGCTATGACAAGTTCTACCACTGAGAGTTTGATTTTTAAAATGTACAACATTGAGGTATTTTGGGTTAGCAGGTATATAACCAAGACTCTTTCTACCTTGCTTGCTTCTACTTGTTCTCCAAATGTATTAAATATTCCTAACTCTATAATATCCTCATCAGGCAGAATATAATATACACTACAAAATATTTCAGCATGGGATTTCTACTTGTAGATTCTTCTTTACAAGACAACCATGTTACACTGCTTCTATTTAGTTAACGCTTATTACAAAAAAATAAATACACTAGTAACTAATGAATTAGATGGCATGTCTAACACATTTGGACATGTACTCATAATATCTGATCTGTACTGTCCAATCAGTATGGTGGCCACTAGCCATATGGGGCTATTTTCATTAAAACTAATTAAAATTAAATAAAAAATTAAAAACTAGCTCCAAAGTTACTCCAGTTGTATTTCAAGAACTCAATAGCCATATACAGCCAGTGGCTATAGTACTGTCAAGTGCAGAATATTTCTAATCTAATTGTATATCTCTCTTTAAGCACCTCCTCTGCTAGAACAAAAGTTGCCCAAAAATATTTAAGATTTTTTCTTAAACAGTAACACAGAAATTTAAAAAGGCACATCCCAATTTTCGGATTAAATTCTTCCTAATAGTTTTGTTTCTTGTGCTAATATTATATTTACTCAAAAGTCACATATATCATCATTTAATAATCATAGAAAAAGTTTGCATTTGTTGTCAAAGTTCTGTGATAAGTAATACCGTGACATTTAGCTTTTGCTTTCTTTTTCAAGAAAATGTATAAATTGAAACAAGTAAAAGGGTTTACTATAAGGATCCATTTCTTGACACACCACTCTATTACCCACCTGTGACTGAAATTTTTCATAAAGGAAAAAATACATTTCAAAGAGAGTGTAACAATTCTTTCAATAAATTTATATACCCATAGAATTATATATACTTACAATTAGGTTATATATTAATTGTAACCATATATCAATTATGGTTACTTTTGTAATTAGGTTCATTCAACTACACATTTTCAAGATACTAAGTACTTAAAATTATATTCATTTATACCTCTCTGTATTTGTATATACATTTACCATATGGGCTGCAGAGTTTTTAAAAATCACACAAACTTTCAACTTATTCATAACCAGGAATCAAAAACAATTCTCTATATTTCTGTATTTGAGATTCTTTAAACTACAACTTCATTACAGGAAATTCAAAGATAAAATGGAGCTCCTCTGAAGACTTACTACTATGAAAAAATCTCTAACAGTTTTGATACACGTTATCCTTGTGCTAGTGAGAATATTCAAGCAGACTAATTCCTAATACTGTTTATTACACCTGACTGATGCAGCTCTTTACTTGTGACTACTTCCTTTTGACTCATGTCTTTACCCTCCTCATTTATTGATATTTTCAATTTAAAATTTAGAAGGCTAAGTAGAGTTGGCTAAATCAGGAAAGCATGGGGAAGCAGAAGCCATAGCTGGGATATGTGTAGCTTCACCTTCTATCACCCTCCAGCAATTACTATTTATTTCTGAAAGTCTCAAATCCCTTTACTTGAGCATAGCAACTCACCCAAAGTAACACATCCATTTTTAGCAAAGAGAATATAGATTTCTAATATTTCTTCTTTTCACTGAAAATTCTTCAAAATTCTATAATATACCAACTTGAATAGGAAATGCTTTGGATTAAAATACTAACTCCATGAATAAAGATATTGGTATATTAAATGGAATTAGTTAACAGTTTAAAATGATTTTTAAAAGAGTAAGCCAGATTCGTATTTGTCACACTGCATTACAGGAAGCTCGTTTAGAAGCCACCCGGAGTCCTACTTTGGGGGTGAGCAGGCAGAGCCCTGGAATTCTTCTTTTCCCTATCCTCTCTATCAGAGTAACTCTATCTTTTCTTACATACCAAACTTAAACATACTTCTACATAGATGAATTTTAAGAGTTTATCCTGGGAAATATTCCATGATACTATGATTGAATATTTGTATATTTATATTGACTACATTTGTATGTAGATTGTCCTTCATGTTTTGGTCTCAGGTTGTCAAAATACACAAGTTGCAGATCTTACCCAGTGAGCACAGTGATTCACCTGTGGCAATAACCTCTTAGGTTGTATTTATTTCCCCACCATGTGAACCCACAGACCTGCTTCATCTGTGCTCTAAGATTATCTCCCTTCCCCAGCAGTTTACAGCACAGCATCCAAGTCAGAAAAATGTTTGTCTTAGGAATAGGTTCGTTTCTGTGTTTAGTGTAGACACCAGTACTCCTGATTCAATCTTGCCAACTACTCAGGATTCCAGATGTCTTCATATATCACCACCTCCCCCACTCCAGGCCACAAAGAACAAAACAAAACAAAAAATTTTGATCCCTAGCTTAATTCTTAAACACTGGTGAATCCCCCGACCCCACCCCACAGCCTCTGCCTTGATCTCTAGTTATCAGTCATAAATTTTCCAGCATTCTCTGGTTTGTCTGACTTATTTAAAACACAGATTCTATCATCTCCATTTGCAGATCTTATGCCACTATGACCATCTAGATGTTTCTGTCCCAGTCTCCAGTAGGCACTCCACTCCCAGCCCTATGGCTGCCCATTTTTGTTTAGTACAAAGTTGGGCTTCTGTACCTTTGGTCCAAAGGAAGAAGGACCAAGAAATTGGTGCAGCCCCAAATCGCTGCTCAAGGGACTCCCCTCAGGAATGGAAGTGTTCTGGAACCTCAAATGCTCTCAAAGAGCCACTCCTCATGTGGTTTCTGGCTGAGCTGGGCAGTAACAACCTTAAGGAAGTAGGAAGGAGACACATAGAAGAAGGAATGGAAAAAAGAGGCAGTAGGGATGTTAGTGCTTTCTTTTTCTTTTTTTTTTTTTTTTTGAGACAGAGTCTCGCTTTGTTTTCCAGGCTGCAGTGCAGTGGTGTGATCTCAGCTCACCACAACCTCCATCTCCCAGTTCAAACGATTCTCTTGCCTCAGCCTCCCAAGTAGCTGGGACTACAGGCACGTGCTACCATGCCTGGCTAATTTTTGTATTTTTAGTAGAGACGGGGTTTCACTATGTTGGCCAGGATGGTCTCGAACTCCTGACCTCATGATCTGCCCGCCTCGGCCTCCCAAAGTGCTGGGATTACAAGCGTAAGCCAATGCGCCCGGCCAGATGTTAGTGCTTTCTACACAGTCCTACCTATCTTAGTTGCTGGCAGTTAGGCACTATTTTGTATGCTTTTGTTTAGTAATGAACAAGGCACATTGTAGTTTAAGAAATAGTCATGTTTAACAGAAGAACCTTATTACAGTAGACAGTCGTATCTAGGTTTGTGTCCAACTTGGATCTTAATTATACTCTTAAGTCTCCCTCCTGAGGTTAACTGGCTGGAATTCATGATTTCACATAGTTGTTTTATTTATTTATTTATTTTTTTGAGATGAGTCTGGCTCTGTCACCCAGGCTGGAGTGCAGTGGCGCAATCTCGGCTCACTGCAAGCTCCGCCTCCCGGGTTCACGCCATTCTCCTGCCTCAGCCTCCCGAGTAGTTATGACTACAGGCGCCCGCCACCTAGCCCGGCTAATTTTTTGTATTTTTAGCAGAGATGGGGTTTCACTGTGTTAGCCAGGATGGTCTCGATCTCCTGACCTTGTGATCTGCCTGCCTCGGCCTCCCAAAGTGCTGGGATTACAGGGGTGAGCCACCACGCCTGGCCCACATAATTGTTTTATTTCTAAAAGATGAAGGAAATTAAATGGGAAAATTTTCTTTCCTTTTCTCAAAACAGGGCATAGAGGACACTGATATATTAGGATTAATGATAGATCTTTAAGTTAATTGTAGAATTAATATTTAGTCATCACCATGTGAAAATAAAATTCAGAAATCTGAATTTACTCTTTATACAAACATCTGAATTTTTTGTTTGTTCGTTTGCAAAGTCTACTGTGTAAAACAATATAAGGGGATTTGAATTAGGTGGTGTAACCTCTTTAAAATTAGCCAATTTCTATACTGAGAATTCCTAAATGCATTTCTTTTCAATCTTTATATTCAAATTCTCTACTCATTTAAAAGTAAAAATGCACAATTTCTATATACATTTACTTTTGTACTCCATACCTTAAACATTTTTTTAAAGACCCAAATTCAAAGGATACAATAACATGTCGATCAGATGGGTTTCGCTGACGTGTTCTTTCTAACTGAGTTAATTGCTTAGCTTCTCGATTCCTTGCTGTGAATGTTGCCTTGAGGTCATCCTGCAAATTGACATTTTTTTATTAGTAAAAATGTCTGACTTAAGAAAATTCACACACTCTGTTTTAAGAATGGAAGAATACTTCTTGTGTGATCCTGGTACCATTACCACAGGAATTACAAGTATTACATAATTAGTGTCTATGTATATGAGAATGTGTTTAATATTCTCTCAAAATAATGACACAATTTCAGTGCAAAACTATTAACCATAATAGATATATGTATATAAATGTGTAATTTTGATGGTGGTAGTGGTTACATGGGTATAAACATTTGTCAAAACTCAATGATCACTTAAAATGGAAGAATTTTACTGCACATAAATCAGGGGCTCCCAACTCCCAGGTGTATTAGGAACTGGGCCAGCACAGCAGGTGAGCGGTGGGCGAGCTAGTATTAAGGCCTGAGCTCTGCCTCTTGTTAGATCAGGGGCAGCATTAGATGCTCATAGGAGTGCAAACCCTATTGTGAACTAAAGAAAAATTGTCTTCCACAAAATCGGTCCCTGGTGCCAAAAAGGTTGGGGACTGCTGATGTAAATTACACTTCAATAAAGTTAGTTTTAAAAATAGAACTCTCTCACACATTTTAAAAGTCTAAATGCTATCACCTGCTTTAAACAAAAACTTATATTCATATAGTAAAGCAATTTCTGTCCATATATTTTTCATGATTATAATTATTTTAAAGTTTCCATAATAATGTCTATGTTGTCTATGTTGCTACAGTATACTTAATAAGCTCACTAAAAATATTTCATTATTCTTAAAGAGCTAAGGGATCTTTCAGAGTAAAAAGAATGACTATATACTAGTTTGTATTTCTTTCTTTTTTTTTTTTTTTTGAGACAGAGTCTCGCACTGTCGCCAGGCAGTGCTAAGATAGTGCAGTGGCACTATCTTAGCTCACTGCAACCTCTGCCTCTCGGGTTCAAGCGATTTTCTTGCCTCAGCCTCCTGAGTAGCTGGGATTACAGGTGCACGTCACCACGCCCAGCTAATTTTTTGGTATTTTTAGTAGAGACAGGGTTCCACTATGTTGGCCAGGATGGTCTCAAACTCCTGACCTCATGATCCGCCCTCCTCGGCCTCCCCAAGTGCTGAGATTACAGGTGTGAGTCACCACTCCTGGCCACTACTTTGTATTTCTTATTTAAAAAACAACTGGAAACCTCATACTCTTTGCCAGAGTAACTCATAGTAAGTGAGAAAATGGATTTACTTACCCGTTTCATTTTCACAATGGTCCCATAAGCTTTCAAGGGTTCAACCACTTTGGCTTCAAGTCTTTTAACCTATTGAAAATTATTAAAATTTTAAATTAGAATGTTTAACCTTTTAGCCTATAAATAAAAGGCTAATCACTAGAAATTAATAAGACTTAGAATCTAAACTCAAACACATTAAAAACTGTTAAGCTGCACGGTAATAGTAAAAGTAGAAAAGCATCTGATAAGCAAAATGACAAGAAAATGTCTCAGGTTTCCCAGGAGCTCATCCTGGCCACATCATCATCTTAGGATTACTTTGTTACCTTAAAGTAGTAGTTTAAGTGTGTTAAGACAGCTCAAATTTTAATACAGCTAACATTTTCAGTGTGTTCAGCACAGTACTGGATACTTTAGGTATATTATCTCTGAACTATAATAGCTCAACTTTTCAGAAAAGAAAATCAAAGCTGAAAGACAGAGCATCTTGGAAACATTTAAAGCAATATAACCTTCAAAAGCAAAAAAGCTTAGAGATCACTGTATTTGCTGCATTTTTTTTTTCTGAGAAGCCATTTGTGAATTATCAAAGCCTACAGAACAAGATAAATGGTCTGAGTTGCTGAGCTGTCAAACTGTATGTCTCATCTCTGTTTCATTTAGAATTAAATAGTTTTTCTTAAACGTTATAGTTATGTTTTTAAATCACATTTTGAGTAATTACTTCTTTTACAAGTAGCACTAGTGGAAGGCACTGAAGAGACAGATTTTTTTTTTAAGGTAAAGTATTTAAATACAGCATAAGAAAAATAACTCTCTTTGACATTAAAATTTTTTCTCTCAAGATAGGTGACATGTATTCAATTGCTTAAAATGAACATGTAATATTTTAATCGCAGGAAAAGGGCTTTTTAATGATACATATTTATATAATTAACAAATACACTTAATTTCATATTGATTTTTCTTTAGTTTCTGTAAACAAAATGTGTATGACTGTTTCATTTTAAAATGTTAGGAAAATAAAAATCAGCTTCCCATTAAGTATTCAAATATTAGAAATCCTAAAATCATGGATATTCAGGACAGTTTGGTTTACACCATTTCTTATAATCCATACTGATTATTCAGTTTAAGGATTATCTAAGTCTTATTTCTGTTCTCCTTTTTGTTGCCTACCTTTTTGTCATTGTTCATTAGGACCTCCACCATTTGGTAAGCAAGGGAAATAAAAGGAGAACAAATGCAAATCAATTCAGTTTGCTATTTGATAAATAGCATAAAGGTTTTCTACAAAGGGGCATTGAAATTATTGGCTAAAATAAGATTTTAGGATTACCTGTGAATATAAATTATCTTTGAAACATTAAGTTCCCAGTTAGATGTAACTAAGAGTTACTTGTTTATAACAGAAGAAGTTTCATGACAAGAACTCAACATTTTTCTAAAAGTACCTCCAAACATTACTCTTCAAATTTGTATGGATAGCAATGATGAGTTCAATTTTTTTTTATACTCATTCTATTTTTTGAAAATTGAAATTTCCATTTTAGGTTCTGATGAGAAAAGTACAAAAAAGCAACGCATTTCTAAATGGGCAACTTCTGATAAGTTCACCTATGTTGTGAAACTGAAAATAAATACAAGTAAAAGTGCTCATTAAGTATTTAAAGGAAAAAAATGGGCTTTTAGAAAGAAAACAATCACAAGGATACCTCTCCTGCTACCCAGAGCAAAAAGTCCACACAGTGTCTCAGTATTGGTTTGCTTTCATGACTACAATTCATAGCATTTTGTTGTTGTTGTTGTTGTTAGTAAACCATTGGTCAATTTTCCAGTTGGATGCAGCAATGATCTCTTGCCCATTTATTAATAATTTATCCATCCCCATTACCATTCCCAACATTTCCATCTCTAGTCATTCTTTAATATGTACTTACGTGCCACACAAGACATTAAGTTATGCTTATTTTCTTCCCCCTGCGTACTATTCCCACTACCCCCAGTAAACAGCCACCCCCTGGCCAAAAGTTGGCAAATAAAGTGGGGAAATTCAAGACTTCAAGATTCCCTAAAATTTAGCTTGAAAACGGTAAAATAAAACACAGAAAGCTTCTCTCTTTTTTTTTTTTTTTTTTTGAGACAGAGTCTTGCTCTGTCGCCCAGGCTGGAGTGCAGTGGCCTGATCTCGGCTCACTGCGAGCTCTGCCTCCGGGTTCACGCCATTCTCCTGCTTTAGCCTCCCAAGTAGCTGGGACTACAGGAGCCCCGCAACCTCGCCCGGCTAATTTTTTTGTAGTTTTAGTAGAGACAGGGTTTCATCGTGTTAGCCAGGATGGTCTCGATCTTCTGACCTCGTGATCTGCCCGCCTCGGCCTCCCAAAGTGCTGGGATTACAGGCGTGAGCCACCGCGCCCGGCCGAAAGCTTCTCTTTAATAGATTCACACAGTGTTATAGACATGAAAATGTAGGTTTTATCAAGTTTGTATCCACCTCTGCAGTTAGGTAGATTACAAGTGAAAGTTCCCACGGTTCCTTCATCCACTACTTCATGGCTCATTCATAACAATGACACTGTGATCTCACGCCATACCTCTGCTTGTCGATAATCCTGAAGTTTGGCAAACTCATCAGCAAAGTTCATCAGGCCCAGCTTTAAATGTGGGGTCTCTGTAGCAGCATACGCATTGATTTCATTCACCAGGAGGTCGGCTTTGTCTCTCAGCCTGGCAGTTTTCCGCACATAGGCAGCGAAGATTTGGCACAGTTCTCCAAAATGCTTCTCCACATTTGAGACAGCTGTTTGCAGTTGTTTCGTTTGAGCGTTCCTAGAGAAAAAGGTGACACAAAAGGCAAAACACTCTCGTTAGAGATGAGAAGGCTTCACGTTAATGTAACATGCAAACATTCCCCGGGCATTCTGCAGCTTTGAAGGCACAAACCCACCAACGATCCACCGTCTCCCGGCGCGGACTGCTCTCCATGGGGTCCTGACCTCACTATCCGGACAGTGCAGGCACAGGAAGAGGCACAGGAAGAGGCCCAGGCCGGGTGGGCCTGGCCTTAACTGGGGAGGTGGCTGCTCCGCGCAGCGCGGCCTGGGAGCCTGGCTGCCTCCAAGGCTTCTGCACTGCCCGCGGCAGTGTGGGGACCCGAGACCCGGAGGCGTGGGTGGGTGGCAGCCGGCCGGGCCCCGGGCTCCCCTTCGCCGCCGGCGCTCGCTGCAGCCCAGGGAATTAGGCCCCAGGCCACAGCGGGGACCATGCAGCCTGCCGCCCAGGGTCGGAATTCGGCGCAGAGGCCCCACGGACAGAGGCTCCACTTCCCTCACCCCAGCCCTCCAGTGTGGGCGGCCCTGGGCAGCTGGGCTCGGGCTGTTACCGGTTTTCCAGGGTGCGCCTCATCATGCTGCCTCGCGCACGGCAGGGGACCTTGCGGGGGCCCAAGGACGGGGACTCCAAGGCGCCTGGGCGCGCGCTGGGGCGCAAGCAGCCGCCGGGAGCCGGAGAGCCCGCCCCTCGCGCCGCCGCGCCAGCCCGGGCGTTTCTATGGAAACGGGGTGCGCGCCCCCGCGGTCAATGCCCGAGGCAGCCTGAGCGCGGCTGGGGCTCGGAAAGCGCAAAGCAGCGAGGGACCCAGAGGGGTGATGGCGCGCCCACCCTGGGACCGAGAGGGGTGATGGCGCACCCACCCCTGCAGAGCCGCCTGCGCGGTCGTCCCGCGCGTCCCTGCCGGCGAAGCCTGTGGGAAGCACCGCGGGGCTGCGGCTCCTCCATCCTCTCTAACAGCCGCGCTTACCAGACAACCAGCCTCTAGGGCTGCTCGGCTACTCCGAGCAGGGGAGAAAAGACGTCGGTCCGCCGGGAACTAGGAGGGAGACGTGAAACCAGAGGCCCGGGGGCCCCGTCTCCGCCTGTGCGACTTGTAGTCTCGTACCAGACGCGTCCACTTCGCTGTTTAATCTGAAAACGTGGGCTCTTGAGAGCTGCCCTTGAAAGGAGCGGTGCTTACTGCTTCACTTTTAACTTTTCATTTATTCAGCAAATACGTATCAAGTTCCTACTTCGCGGAAGAGATTGTGTTAGACACTGGGAATAACAGAAACATAATTAAGAAGCAGGGGTCCCGGACCTGAAGGGCCTGAGCGTCGGATGAGGAGGCAACGCTTACACCGAACCTGTGCTGAGATAAATAACGAACAGTTCTGGCTCTCAGGGTTGGCCTGGGGCAACAAAAATTCAAAAAGACAAAAACCCCAAACAAACAGGACGCTCTCCTTTGTCCTTTGAACGCCTCTGTCCTTTTGACCCTCCCGGCCTTCCCGTGTGCTGCTTTTCCCAGTAAACACTGCAAGGACTCCATTCAGACTTTATTTATTTATATATATTTTTGAGATGGAGTCTCGCTCTGTTGCCCAGACTGGAGTGTAGTGGCACAATCTTGGCTCACTGCAACCTCCACCTCCTGGGTTCAAGCGATTCTGCTGCCTCAGCCTGCCGAATAGCTGGGATTACAGGCGTGCACCACTATGCTGGCCTAATTTTTTGTATTTTTGGTAGATATGGGGTTGCGCCATGTTGGCCAGGCTGGTCTTGAACTCTTGGCTTCAAGTGATCTGCCCCCCTTCAGCCTCCCAAAGTGCTGGGATTACAGGCGTGAGCCTCAATTCAGACTTTATCTGCTTCGAGAAACCTCTCTGGGATCCTCCCACACTTCGCTTTTTCAGGCAACGTTAGGGCCTGGTCCTAACGCTTTGGGACGGGGCCCTAATACTGTCTGAAGGAGCGAAGTGCAAAGTGTTGGAATGCTAAAACAGTACACTTTGTTGATTTCGTACTGTCTCCTATACTCTAGACTTTGAGCCCTTTGAGACAGAGGAAATGTGATTTTGGTCTAGTATTCCTCCCTGCCGTGTGCTGCTGATTAAAAGTTTTTATTTTGGACAAATAGATGTCCGCCGTCCTTTGTTTTCAACTTCCCCTATTCGCTTGTGTTACAATGTGTACCTCTCTTTGCTCCTTGCCTTCACTCAGCATGTTATTGGTTGGATGCCTGGTGTGTTCCAGGTATTATGCTCGGCTTTGAGGTTGGCACAGTAACCTAAGATCAGAATAGTCCATGCTTTTAGAGAGCTCACAGTCATGTGGCAGGGATAGAAGCTAATCAAACGAAGATGTGTAAAATTGCCACTGAGGTGTGTGCTACTGTATCCACTTCTGCGGTGTAACAAATCACCACAAAACTTAGTGACTTTTTACGATTTGTTTGGCTAGCTTGGGATTCTGAGTGGGCTGGGTGGTTCTTTTACCTTGGTTCTGCTCAGTTGGGCTCTTACCTTTCTGGTCAGCTGGTGGGTGGATGATCTAGGGGGACTGACTCCTGTGTCATGGCATTGGCAGGTCGTCAGCAGGGGCCACATGTCTCTCATCGTCTAGCACGTCAGTCAGGCTTCTTTCCATGCTTTCAGAGTTCCAAAACAGTGGAGCAGGACAAGTCAACTGCCCAAGTGCCTTTCAAGTCTCTGCCTGTGTTATGTTTGCTGATACCCTATTGGCAAATGCAAGTCACGTGGCCTAGACTGGCGGGATCAGAGAGGGAAGTGGAAATGCTATGTATGGTGTGGTTGCTAGAGGAATTGGTGGCTACTTTTCCAGGCTACTATTAGGGAAAACTACATGGCAGCAATTGAGCGTATACTTAATATAGAGCTTTAGTTTGAACTTGTCAGGGAAGGACTTCATTGAGAAAGTGACAATTGAACTGAGATCCAAATAGGAAGGAGTCAACTAGGTGAAGAGGGAGTGAAAAACAGTCCCAAGAGAAGGACAGTATGGGCAGTTTGCCCGCTTGCCTCTCCCAGCCCCATTCCCATCCCTACCCAGAATTTAATATCTCAGGAAATGGTACTATTGTCCAGTTGATTGTTAAGTCAAAAACCTAGGAGTTACCCTTTCTTTTCTCCAGCCACATGGGCAATTCCTATCTGTTCCATCTCCAAAATATATCCTGAATCATTCCTTCTTCATTTTTGTCTACATCCCCATAATCCAAGCTACGACCACCAGTCATCCTTACTGCAATCCTCCCTTACTAGTCTCCGCATGTCGACTGTTAAACATTGCAGTGTGAAATCAAACGTGTAAATCAGGTGATGTCAACCCTCCAAAGCCTCTCAGTGTGCTTCAAATAAAAATTAAATCCTATTCTAGCCGTTAAGGCTTTATCTCATTTCTGTTTACCCATCTACCTTCTCTTGCTGCCCCACTGTCCTACAGACACGTCATATATATGTATGTATATATCTACACACACATACTTATATATACACATATATACACACACACATATATATAAGCTTCTCTCTCTGTGTCTATCTATAGATAAACTTATCTCAGAGTTAGTTCTGTGTTTGTAATTCTCTCTGCCTGGAATGCTCCTTCTTCAAGTCTTCACATGGATGGCCCCTTTGTATAAAATGGTGCTTAAAAAGCACCTATGAGTGGAGCTTTCTCTGATCATCAAATGATTCTATCACCCTGTTTTGTTTCCTTTGAAGCACATGTCACGTCCTGAACTTAAACCTATTTATTTACGTGCTATTTCTGTCTTCTCCCATCCATGTACTAACCAGGTTGGACCCCACTTAGCTTCCAAGATCAGGCATGTTCAGATATGGCCATAGATCTATTTCTGTCTTCTGTGACTAGAATATATTCTCCATGAAACTAGCCATGTTGTTACCTGTTCACTTTGTATTCCCAGTACCACCCCAGTGCTTGACTCATAGTAGAAATTCAATAATTAGTTGAGTTTATCAAAGAATAAATGCATAAATGAGTGAAAACCCCATGACAGGGAACACAGTATGTGTGAAGACATGGAAGAAAGCTGATGAGGGTGGAGTGGAGGAGGTGGCATCATGTTCTGTCTGAGATTTAGTTGGAGGGGTAGTAGGGGACCAGGTCGTATAGGGCGTTTTGGCCATGCTAAGAAGTTTAGAGATTGGTTCTTGTATTAGTCAAGGTTCTTTAGAGAAACAGAACCAATAGTCTGTGTTTGTAAATATAATATGATATAATATAATAATATGTAATATATTGTATAATTTTATTATACAATAAAATTACATTGTGTAATATAATATACAATTATATAATATATATAATTACTCCATAATTACTTGAGTAATTATGGAGGCTGAGAAGTCCCCAGATCTGCAGTTCACAAGCTGGAGACCCAGGGGAGCTAATATGTCATTTCAGTTCAAGTCCAAAGGCTGGAGAACCAGAAGAGCTGATGGTTTATTTCCCATCTGAAAGCAAGCAGGGTGGAGACCCAAGGAGAACAGATGACTGAGTCCTAGAGGGAAGGCTAGAAAAGATGACGTCCCAAGTCAAGCAGTCTGGTGGGAGCAGTTTCCTCCTACTGAGACTTTTTCCTGTTCAGGCCTTGGATTGACTGGATGAGGCCTGCCCACATTAGGGAGGGCACTCTCCTTTATTCAAATGTTAGTTTCATCCATAAACACCCTCACAGACACATGCAGAATTATGTTTGGTGGAATGCCTGGGCACCTGTGGCTCAATCATAATCACACAGAAAATTAACCATCACAGTCATTGTCTGTGTATCAATGTGAAGCTATTGATGTGTTAAAGCAAGTTATTTATTGTGTAGCTCTTTTTTTTTTTTTTTTTTTGAGATGGAGTTTCGCTCTTGTTACCCAGGTTGGAGTGTAATGATGCAATCTCAGCTCACTGCAACGTCCTCCTCCTGGGTTCAAGCAATTCTCCTGCCTCAGCCCCCTGAGTAGCTGGGATTACAGGCATGTGCCACCACCCCTGGCTAATTTTGTATTTTTAGTGGAGATGGATTCCTCCATGTTGGTCAGGCTGGTGAGAAGCTCCTGACCTCAGGTGGGAGGTCTATTGTGTAACTCTTAAAGGTGTTAGCAAATGCTTGGTAAATGGTGTCATAATTGTTGAACAGATGCATATTGAATTATCCCTCCTCAATCTGCACTCAGTATATGGAAATGAAAGTGCTCAAGGAAACTTCCTCCTGAGATATGGGCTGTTGATCTTACTCTTCTGTCAGCAGATACCTAAAAAACATGCATTAACACAATTGTTCTCAAGTCTTTTTACTACTTGGAGGCATGCTCTTTCTTACAGGCTACACTTTTTCCAGGGACACATTATCTCATCAAAGAGGAGCTGGGGGCCTGGGAGGACAAGTGCCTTGGCCAGGGTTGTGAGATTAGATAGCAGAAGAGCTGGAACTGAATCTTTGTCTTCTTTCTTCAGTGTTTTTTCCAGAGTACCAGGATCTCTTTCTCTCTTAAAAGTGATTTATTTTTGT